CTCCATTTCTAATGCACTGTTGTCATTTATTTATTATTTTTTTTTTAATTTCTTGTGTAATTTTGAAAGCATTGGCTTTCAAAATTGGCCTTAAGCCCAGAAGGTCGTGGGTTCAATTCCCACCTCTACACCTTCTCCACCGACTCCCACTGATGACTGCTGTCGTTGTGTCCTTGGGCAAGACACTTAACCCCACTTTGCACAAAGCCCCCACTGAAAGATCAAGGCTATGCTCACACTGCCGTCCTCCTGTGGACTCACCACCTGCAGAGGGTCAGTGAGGGGCTGGTGCTATGAGACTTGGGTGGCATCTCTGATTGCCACCCCCCTGACCCAGAAATGGATTAAAGGGTAGAAAATGGATGGATGGATAATTTTGAAAGTTTTAATGGTTTTATTCTTTTGTGTGATTTTATGTTTTAATTGTGTTTTAATCTTTTGTGTGATTTTAATGTTTTAATTGTGTTTTAATCTTTTGTGTGATTTTAATGTTTTAATTGTGATTCTGGTGTTTGTTTTATGTGATGATTTGTGATGTGGACTGTGAAGCGCTTTGTGTTGCCCTGTGTATGAAAGGCGCTCTACAAATAAACTTTGATTGATTGATTGATTGATAAGTATTCCACCCCCCCCTCCTGCTCATTTAGCCCACCTCCCCCCTAACCCAGCACTCCCCCCTCGTCCACCACCCAACTCAGCCTGCCCCTCCCCTAACCCATCACCAAAAACCCATCCACCTTCAACCCCCCCCCCCCCCCCCCCAACTCCCAAGAACCACCTGCCTCTCCATCCTCTTCCCCCACCTTCCCCTTCCCCTCATTTCTCTAAACACTAGGATGCACAGGGTCTCTGCTTCGCAGCCACTGGCAGTCTAGTTAGAGGAGAGACCCGGCTGGGGCCCTGTCATGAAGCCACCTGTGCCATTCCCTTAGTGATAACACAAAGAATACATTACAGAAAAACATCTGAAGTTAATCAGTCTAATCAGGAAAATCTAATTCTTGTTCCGTGTAAGAATCAGCCGACCACAACCGCTGATACTGAAACTTTGAAACTTGCTATGCTAAATGTCAGATCTCTTTGTAACAAGTCTTTTTTAATCAATAATTTTATTTGTTCTTATAATCTAGATCTTATGTTCATGGCTGAAACATGGCTTGACCAAAATACAGAAAATGCAGTTTTAATAGAAGCATCACCACCAAATTTCAAATTTGAATCTGAAATACGGGGAAACAAAAAAGGAGGAGGCTTAGCTGCCATTTTCAGAGACCACTTTGTCTCCCATAGAATGTCTCTTGGGAAGTTTCCGTCTTTTGAATATGTGTCTTTTAAAATACAACAAAAACAATCTCGTCCAATACTCTTCATTGTCCTATACAAGCCACCGCAGTCATGTCACAGTTTTATTGATAATTTTACCGAGTTGCTTTCAGTTGTATGCACAGATTTTGATAGTTTGGTTATTACAGGTGATTTTAATATTCATGTGGATGATGTTATTGACAGAAAGGCAAAAGAGCTGAGTTCTGTTCTTGAATCTTTTGGTCTCACTCAGCATGTGAGTGGCCCCACCCACAGCAGAGGGCACACTCTAGACCTGTTAGTTACTAAGGGGTGTGAATATTTCAAATGTAAACGTGGGCGATGTTGCGCTTTCGGATCATTTTTGTGTATTTTTTGACATGTGTTTCACTAACAAACCACCAGTGGACTCTGCAACTGTACGAAGAAGACACATAAATGAAAATACGGGTGAACTATTTATGGGAATGATAAACTTTGAGAATGCATCGTATTCTACTGTAGATGAACTGTTTAACTCTGTCACCTCTAGTGTTTTGAATGTTCTGGACACCATCGCTCCTGTGAAGGTTAAAATAGTGAAAAATAAGCAGAAGGCGCCGTGGGCTAAAGCAGACTCGGTCAGGGCACAAAAGAGAAAGTGCCGGAGGGCCGAGCGGAAGTGGCGCAAGTCCAACCTCCAGGTTGATTACAAGATCTTCAAAGATAAGTTGTGCGAGTTTAACCAGGTGCTACGTAGTACGAGAGAAAGGTATTTTTCTGAAATGATTGAAGGCTGCAGCAACAATCTGCGTGTTCTGTTTTCAACAGTTAATAGATTAACAAACCCCCCTGTTCAAATGCCATTAGCGCTAACTTCCAAACGTAAATGTAATGAGTTTGCACATTTTTTCAATGACAAGGTTCAAGGCATCAAAAACGCCATTGTCTCCAATCCACAGATAACCATCCAACAGCCTAAAAGGCTCTTTGAGCTAACTTACTTTGCACCTGTAAATGATCAAACTGTCCAAGAGATAATCTCCAGTCTGAGCTCCTCCACATGCAGCCTGGATGTACTACCCACTAGATTTCTAAAGTCTGTTCTGAGCAGTCTGTTACCTTCACTCACACAGATAGTAAACATGTCCCTTCATTCTGGAATATTCCCAAAGGCCCTGAAAACTGCAGTCATCAGGCCCCTGCTTAAAAAGAGCAGTCTGGATGCTACGGTACTTAACAACTACCGTCCCATCTCAAATCTGCCATTTATGGGGAAAGTCCTTGAAAAAGTTGTCTACCAACAGCTAAATAGATTTCTTATAATCAACAACTCATTTGATATGTTTCAGTCCGGCTTTAGACCCCACCACAGCACTGAGACTGCTCTCGTTAAGGTTACAAACGATATCCGGCTGAACACTGACGCAGGCAAAGTCTCAATCTTAATCCTGTTAGATCTGAGTGCTGCCTTTGACACTGTCGACCATGAGATCCTCTTACAGAGACTAGAGGACTAAGTTGGTTTAGGTCTTACCTTGAAGACAGGAAGTACTTTGTGGAGATTGGAAACTGTGTCTCAGATCATATGGCCCTGACCTGTGGAGTACCACAGGGGTCGATCCTGGGACCTCTTCTTTTCAATCTCTACATGCTGCCGTTAGGTCAGTTAATACGCAGAAACGAAGTTTCCTATCATAACTATGCAGACGACACTCAGATCTATGTCTCACTGACTGCAGGAGAACATGGACCAGTGGACTCACTCCTTCACTGTATCCAACAGATCAGTGAGTGGATGCAAAACAACTTCCATCAGCTAAACGCAGACAAAACTGAAATGATTGTCTTTGGTCCCCAGAAACAAAGAGAGAGCGTCATCTGTCATCTACAGTCTCTCTCCCTAAAACCTTCAAACAAGGTCAGAAATCTAGGGGTAATACTGGACTCAGACTTAAATTTTAATAGCCACATCAAATCAGTAACATCAGCAGCTTTTTACCATTCTAAAAAACATTTCCAGGATCAAAAACATAGTGTCTAAAGCAGACTTGGAGATTCTTATCCATGCATTTGTCTCCAGTAGGTTAGACTACTGCAATGGCCTGCTCACAGGTCTCTCCAAACAGGCTGTAAAACAGCTGCAGTACATTCAAAATGCAGCAGCTCGAGTCCTGACTAGAACCAGGAAGTACGACCATATTAGTCCGGTCCTCAGGTCTCTGCACTGGCTTCCTGTGGCTCAGAAAATAGACTTTAAAACAGCTTTGCTTGTGTACAAGTCTCTCCATGGCCTCGCACCAAAATATATTAGTGACATGTTAGTCCCATATGAACCAGCCCGGACTCTGAGGAGCACAGGGACTGGACTCCTGTTAGTGCCCAGAGTCAGAACTAAACATGGGGAGGCTGCTTTTCAGATTCATGCTGCTAAAATCTGGAACATTCTTCCTGAAGATGTGAGACAGGCCTCCTCTCTGAGAATGTTTAAAACCAAGTTAAAAACGGTGCTGTTTAGCTGTGCATACAACTGAGGGATTTTATATTTTTATCTTTCTTTTTAATGTTCTGTGATTATTTATGATTTTAATGCTATCTTGTTCAGCACTTTGAGTTGCCTTGTGTATGAATTGTGCTATACAAATAAACTTGCCTTGCCTTGCCTTACACGTGAAGTTTAAAACTAAACTAGCAGTTTGATATATGTGGATTTTAAGAAGAGATTTAAAAGAGGAAACGGATGGTGCTAGCCTTATCTCCTCGGGCAGGTCTTCCCAGAGCCGATGAGCCCGAACAGAAAAGGCTCGGTCACCTTTCGTCCTGTAAATCATAACCTCACAACTCTGTCAGTCACACCAATCTCCATGTCGGTTCCATTTATTTGCACAGGAAATTATTCTAACATTTTTATACTGGGTTAAATAAAATGACCATATGATACACCGAACCGATCACATTTATGACTGAATCTATTCATGACCTGTTATTGTGTTGTAACCAATCAGATTATTGGAGATCCAAACGGGGTCACCGTTTATTAATAGGCTCCAACAGTCTGTAAAAGTATCTTATTGATTATTGTCATTATTGCAGAACAGTTCACCAACGCACAATCTGATATAGGTAATTCACAGTCCAGGACAAGGACCAGTTAATCCTGGACTCACAACCCTCACCTTTACCTATTTTCTTAACCCTAAACCTAACCCTAACCAAAGTGACCTCTAACACCTAACCTTAACCCTTAAAAGACTTCACTAATCCTAAGTCAGAAGTTTACAAATGTAGGATGACACTGTGACTTGTGTTTATGATCTCAAAGACTCATTCGGGTTAGCAAGGCAGAGGGCCACAGGATTCACACAGAGGGGCAAACATTGATCCTGGACAGATCATCAGATCATACATACACCGACTGCGCACCACATGTTGGAAACCACATTGAATGAATATGGGTGATTGGCCCTTGCAGTTGGTAAATGACATGATTGCCACTGAATGTAAAACAGACCATAAAAAGCAGCTGTTTTATCCTTCGATTCATGAGGAGACTCTCCAGTAGTGACGGCTGTAGTAGATCCATAACAAAAGCACAGCGTGAATCCACTGGTTTTTCCCAAACGGGACACATCCGTCTCAAGTTACTTGTGCGCGCTGACGTTGCCGCCTCACAGGCTTATATGGCGCACACCTGAACATGTGCTTCTATCTTCATCATGACACTGCACCTGTCTGTGGGCATTCTCAGCATCTCTGGAGGTAAGAAAACCACTGAGGCTGCATGCATTTTAATACCCATTACTTAACATGGAAATCCAGGAGTACGGTTATATTTGCCATTTTTATTGTTTGTCTATACTGAAAATTAGGATTGATTGATTTTGTATTGTCTTGCTGAATTTTTACAATTTGATAGTACTAATTTTGTACAATGAGAATCTAATTTAACATACAGTATGCTACAACTACAGGCAAAACTGGAATATATTTCAAAATCAAAGTTAAAACAAACAAAGGCTCTGCATGAAATGAGTCTTTATCATATTTTGGTTTCACATTATAAGTTGAATTGCAGAGAAAATTACACTTTAGAGCGACATTATTTTCACCTGTATACAGTTATAGCCTACAGGTATATACATATCAATTTTCAATAATCATATTTGTCTTGATTGTGTTTATATATACTCAATATTGTGTGTTTTAGGCTCTCTTCTCCTCCTCATAAACAACTATGGTAGTGTGTCTGGAAACGCAACCACATTCATCCCACACACTACACTTGGCACACTGCTCCTCATTGCCGCTGCCCTGTCGGCTTATGCAGGTGTGTTTTACTGTTTGTTTGGACTCCTCTCTTATTCCCCTTTACGTACAGTATTCATATTGTATGTTTATGTTTCCCTACAGCTGTAAGCCGCTGTCTTAGCCATGCCCAGTTGTTTTCCACGCTGTGCTTGTCCATCTCTGCCCTTTGGAGTGCCCTGGGACTGGTCCACATTCTGTTTGGACAAAGGATTCTCACTGAGGACGAGTTTAGATTTGCCCTGATCCCCGGTTTAGCTACGTTTAGCTTCGCACTGTTTCTCATCGCCATCATTGCCACTTTAGTAAAGAAAGTAGTATTAATTCTCATATCCATCAGCATTAGTTTATCTTGTGCTCATCAGATAGTTGATCTCTCCGTCGGAGGCTTCGGGCACAAGGCCACAGCCGCCAATTACCTCCTTGTCTTTCTAGTCTGTGCATATTTTGGTATTGGGCGCCTACTGTCCGTGATCACTGGAGGCAAAGTAGAGTTCCTGGGAGCAGGCTTGAAAGACAAAGTAGTTTCGAAAGCCGAGGAAAGCATGTACTGTGATGTCACTATTGTAGGTTTGGTGCTGAACTTGCTCTCAGCTGCGATTTTAGCCAGTCCTTTATTTGGAGTGGTCCTGAACCCGGGACACGTCTGCTGGCTGTGGACTGCTGCTGTGTTCCAAATAGGCATATGCGTTCTCCTCTTTAGGGCTATGGACACTCTGACCGCCACCTTCTATGCTTTCATGGCATTTCTGAAATTTGCGGAAGGGTTCTCTGTCCTCCTGAACGCACAGCCGCTTGTATCTCCCATTTCTTGCCCGATCGCCTTCTCTGTCCTATTTTCCATCACGGCGTTATTCTACTGTTCAAAAAGCTTGTTACATGGACTGTACCAGCTCTTCTACACGGCTTACTGCATTGCTATTGCTGCCCAGTCCTCTAGAGGCATTCAGGGCGTACAAGCAGCTATATTTATCGTCACAGTAGGCATGATTTTAATTGACTCGTTCAACATGATTTCTACGTCCTCAAAAAGAAAGCAAGGATTTTTTCATTCACTAGCAAAACGATTCACATGCGTGGCTGTTAACGCACATAGTGGCAAAGACCAGCATGAGCCATACCTTGGTTTTTCTAAGTATGCAGATGCTGAAGTGTTAGGTCATGCCTGTAATTTGCTGGCTGCCTTTGCCCTGACTGGGACGGAGGAGGACACCACTTCACTTCTGCCATGGGTGGTCGTGGGCGGGGGGCTGCTTCAGATACTCTGTGGGCTTGTCGCCTTTTCTCGAGGTAAAACATTCGAGAGCACTGTGTTTGTCCTCTACGGCATTCTCTGGGCTTTCTGGGGTTCGGTCAGATACGGGTCCCTCTACGGAGATGTGAGAGGTTTTAACGTTGCCGTGGGAATCATTTGTTTTCTCTTGTTTAACTTTTTAGTCACGATTGCTGCTCTGTTTCTTAGCGTGGCCTGGTTCGTCTACGGTGTCACTTTCCAGCTTATAATTGTTAGTTTTCTGTTGGATGCAGTGGGATATCTGCCATATGGTTATGACATAGGGGTGGCGATCATCTTTGGGGCTGTCAGTCTTTATTGCTTCGGGGCCAAGATGTTTAGCAGCACCTTCCAGTCGCCTCTGATCCCTTTGGGGAAGCCGATTATTAAACTGAGCGGAGTTGGTGGAGGTGCCCAAATATGTCCACATCTTCCGGCACGCAAGGCCACGTCTGTGCAGCAGATTGCAGGTGAGAATACATAACGATGACGGAATAATTATTGATGTGCTTTGTATAATTGCATTGTTTTGATTGTCCTATAGATATAATGAAGAACGGAGGAGTATGTGGGATGCCAACCGACACTGTTTATGTGTTGGTAGCAGCGTGCAATCAGATCAGATCAGATCAGATTCATTTATTTGCCATTTGCAGTAAAACCACATTGGAAAAACTGACCTGAGGCAGTAGTAAAAGCCTACAAGTAAGGCGGAAACAAAGAAATTGTTCACTACGCTTAAAGCTGAGATACGTAACTTTCACACCACACAAAATGTAATTGTAATAAAACACCAATTTGACCATGTCTGAGCTTTTCAAAAGAGTTTGATTCTATCACTTTGACATTCAATTGTTTTTAACCTGTCACATCTTTAGATCCGCTTTTTTAGACTAAAAACATTTTATTTAAAGACAGAACTACCCTTATTCAGCCAATCAGCTCAATCAGATCAAATAGTGACACACAGAGAACTTTCTTTACTAATAAGAAGATGGTGGTGGTCTGATTTAACTTTTTCGTTTGAGACAAAGACATGGCAAATAGAAGTGCCCCAGCTTTAACAAATAAACGTTGTTTGTTACTCTTGTAATATTGGTCTTCAGGGTGAAAAGGCAGGCAGAGGACCCATGTCCATGTGGATCTCCTCCATAAAACAGCTGCAGCCGGTGCGTCACCTGCTGAGCCCTCTGCTGCTGGACTTCATGGAGGCGGCGTGGCCATCTTCCATCAGTATGGTTCTGCCCAGAGGTAAGGTCACTATTTACTTTAAACGCCTGCCATATCTATTGCTTTTCATTTGGAAAGAAAAGCCTAATATTATCTATAGTAAGTATATTGTTTTGAAACCCCTCTCCTTAGAATAAGCATTAGCGATATGTTCAGCTTGAGAATAGTTAGACCAGTGGTGTCTATCTTTGGATTTGATTTCATTGCATCCAATCAGGAGGCTGTGGGGCGGGTCTAACTGGCCCTTGGGTTTGAAAAATGTCTCCTCATTATCACAAAATACCAAAAAGATTCTTTGCTAGAACCCTTTGAAGCACAAACACATGGCTGGATTATTTATGAAGCGGAGGCTCTGTAGTTTTGGCCTCTGATGACAGGGAAAGGTCAAACTTTAAATCCACCTTTTTCCATGGTATAGATTAAGACAGGTAAAGCTGTTCTAGAGTGTCTACTGTATCTCACTGTAGAAATACCAATTTTTGGGTTTTAACAATTCCCCATTCACAGCTGAAGGAAATGTCACTGGAAATGAGATTTAGGGACCTGGAATGAAGAAAAAAAAGATACCTTAATCAAAATGTTAATCATTTTTAGCCAACATATTCCAGGTTCATCCGGAATGTTTGTAAATTAAGGATTCACATTTTTATTTCAATCTTTCACATTTCCAGAAGTTTGAGATATTTTATCAATTGGTTGACAGTACATGAAAACAAACATGCACAGACACAAAGGTGTAGTAATGGGTTTCTTTACTGTGTTTTTTTTTTTTTTCAGGTCCGTGGATGGAGGTGTTTGGTTTAGGAGATGCAGCTAAACATATTGGAACACCACAAAGCATTGCTATCAGAAACCCAGACTGTGCCGTTGCCACTCACCTCATGAATATGGTGAGAAATGATACCATAAATGACAACACAATTCAAGATTTTAATATGTGAGGTCCATGAAAGCACAATATTTAAGATAAAGTAGCAGTATCGTCATCATTGTTGTCCCTAAGGTCGGGCCGATTGCAGTAACATCAGCCAATCCAACAGGAGAGGCAGACACCACCCATCACAATCAAGTTTTCGCCAAATTGGGTGACAAGGTAAGCAAGGCATAATGTTGCATACAATCTTTTTTTTTAAATAGATTTTCCATCTTCCACTTCTGTCATTTGTGGTATTATGGAACATAGTCAAGTTTAACTTTATCATATGACGGATATTTTATTATTTTATCATTTTGACTTATTTTGGTAGACCTATGTGAAATATTATTATTATTATAGTTTCATACAAATAAAAGTCACCATTTGTGAAGAAAAGGGGAAAATGTGTTTATTTTACATTGATACAACTTCACTCGATATAGACAGAACTATTCCGAGTGAGGTTGCACCAATTTGGCACAATTTACAACAAACACATTTTTACGACACTCTAACAATTTGCCAAAGTAAATAAACATTTGAAAAGTAAATAATCATGATTTAATTTGTCAAATAATAATGTCTTACACTGAAGGAGATTTGGCGCTGTTTTTTACACAGTTGTTTTGTTACATCCTTAGCGTCAATTAGCAAATCGACTTAGTTTCTGGATAATTCTCTGTGTTAAAGCAATGGTGTATGAGGTTCTACAAAACACTGTTAATATAAGAAGGCTGTTGTGGTGTGCACACCTTTGAGGAGACAAGTTTTGAAATATGTTTTATTTGACTTTGTGCCCAATTAAGTGTGCTGCAGGAATGACATATAATAACAATATGGCAATTTCTCAGGTGGACGGTGTGTTATGTGACGGTCCTTCTCCTGAAAACATTGCATCGACTGTGGTGGACTGCACAAAGATCGAGTCGGGCCAGATTGGCTTCTTCAGAGTTGGCCTCATTCCTAAATCAAAAGTGAAGACCGTGCTTTGTGTGTGCATTCTCATTGTTAAACTATACATTATTTTCACGTGTGTTATCCTTGTGTCTTAGGTTCTGCAGATTTTTGAAGAGGTCCAGAAGAGGCACAGACACGGACAGACAAATGCTGCGTTTGAAAGTGAAACTAACAGTGTAACAATGGAAAATGCTAACCCCTTAGCCCGATGAAGCCCAATAGGGAAGTGCTCATGGATAAGGTTTTGCTCCAACTTGTTTTCGCTCTACATCGAAAACTTAACTCAGTAACTGTTTGTGTCACACTCACCATTTTGGGCTTAAAAATATGTGGTTTAGCGCTCTCTGTGATTCTGGTGTTTGAATTTTGATATTGCATTTGCAAATCCAGATATGAGCCATACAATGAATCATTCACAGGGGGAATTCCAGTTTGATTTGCAACCATCCTGGCAACAAGTCTGCCCCTGCTACAGCGCGAAGTAAACACTGTTAAAACAAATGCCCATATAAGGAAATTGGCTTCAGCTAACTTATGTTCAAATCAGCTTCTTCTGCATTCTATGGTGACGGTGACGGTTTGTCCACTCCTTGTACATGGTCTATGGTAAAACCATTATCACAATGCACTAATCATAGCAACATTCATGATATTTTTATTTATTTATGCTTTTGTAATGTCCAGATGATGATTTCAATAAATCAAATCAATACAAACATGTGTTTAGAATTTTTATTTTAAAGGAGTTTTTTTTCAGAAATGTAATGTGAAACAGACAAAAGGTGGGTCTCTGACACTTAAAAAGAGATATATGACCACTAACATCAAAGACATAAATAAATACAAATGAAGAATTTAGAATCATATTTGGAAAATGTAGCTAAACATTTGGTGGGAAGCTTCTGTAAGTGACCTAGATTCAGGGCTCATAATACAATTCTATTACTTTGGAGGCTTATGGGTTATTATTGTAAATGATTACATTTAATTGAATATTGGCTATTAGCACAAATGTCATTCTTTCTGAAATTGAATAATTTACCTTTTTTTCTCAGACAGTGGGAAAGTCTCAGTGTCATTGCTGCGCACATGAATAAGTAGGAACATGTATGGGTGTTTATCAATGTTAATGCTGTAATTTACAGTCAATCTTGACAAAATCACAACCACAAAAGATATTGTTACTGCATTAATTTGTACTTGGTTGCATTTCCAAGGAGACAGTCGAAGACACAGAGCACCACCAGCTCAGCCTCGTCCAGAAACATGTCTGCTCTTGCTCAGGCTGCAAGGCAGTATAGAAGGAGATAAGACACACTTCCACACAGTCACAGCATCACAATGAGACCTTTGGTATTAGCATATCAATCAATGAAACAGTGGCCTTCTAGCCTGGTCTCATCTGCATACAACCCCTGTTGCGTTAACAGTGAATTTCAATACAATATATTTTAGCCACATATTACTTGAATTATATATTACTACATTAAAACGATAACTAAAATAACATTCCAATTACAATAGACTGTGGTTAAAACAGCACAGACCCTGCATTCAAAAAGGACCAAACCAGGCTCTACCTGGAAACTGGAGTAGCCGGAGAAACCCTGGGCAGACACTGGGAGAACATACAGACTGTGAAATGCCCTGTCTGGAGGTTGTATCCAAACCTTATGGCTGTGAAGTACAAGTGCTATCCACTGCAGCTCTGTGCTGCCTTTTGGTAGCAGAGGAGCGAGATGATGTTGTGTTTTTTGAGCCTATTTTTAAGATTCATGAGCGTATTTACTACAACATTTTAGAAAAAACATTTCTTTTACATCTTCAAATTTTCTTTATGATTGATATAATATTGTATTCTTCTTCGTGCTGTGGGAGAAATACAAGTGCTTCCTGTAAAAAGAAATTAATTTCCTCACACCTCTCCGCTTTAGTTTCAGTTTTCATATGCACTTGATAGTGTAATATTATTCTCAGTATTGAAAATACACAATTGATATAATATTGTATTCTTCTTCCTGCTGTGGGAGAAATACAAGTGCTTCCTGTAAAAAAGAAAATAATTTCCTCATACCCCTCCCTAGTTTCAGTTTTCATATGCACTTGATAGTGAAATATTATTCTCAGTTTTGAAAATACACTATACATGTTAACAAGAAAGCCATGGATGACTGTACAGGAGTTATATTAAAGGAAATTAAAGCATATTTGTACATTTTCATTGACCTTTTCCCGCTTCATGAGTGAGTCATTCTTTACTGTAAAAACGAGGGAACGCAAAGGCAACATCTGTATTTCCTGGTTTAACCATCTGTTATAACAGTAAATATCATTTTAGTGTTGCAGCCTCAGAAGTACCAAACTAGAATCTCACTTATAACTATGATGTCAATATGAAATATATATAAGACCAACAACGCCACCTTAGATTTTGGCTTAAAGAATCATTAACAAATGTATCCCACGCCTTAACAAATCACACAGGTTTGTTTGGATGTGGAAGAACTTGAAAACTTCCACTTTAGAAGAACCCCTTAAATGGCAGTTGCAGAACCAGCGGAAACAGGTTATAGAACCCCATTTGGAAGGGGAGGTAGGAGACAGGACCCCATGAGCAATATTGTCTGATTAAGAACAATTACTAATCTATTGTAAGAAGGAGCACTGTATTTAACTAACCGTATTGATTGTACGAGACAAACTTTCAAGCACAGAGGTAGTCAACGTCAAAGGCCCAGCAAGGTGGAGTAGGCAGAGCATGCGCAGGTTCCGGCTCAAAAATGTCCAAAATGACGTGTGCTGACATGCAATACCACCCCAGGCCGATGGGGGTGGACCCGGAATAAGAATTTGCCAATTCTTATTCCGGCAAGATGCTAATGTGTCGCATCTTCTTACCTCTCAAAAACAGCTTTACAGGACGGTCCAAAAGTCGGCTCTTGGCCCAACGCTACATTCCACATGTGTGTCAGTGCTGAGGGGAGTATTATTTTTGGACAAGTCGAGTTTAGTCACAGTGAAATTTTAAAGGCACTCGTGACATGAATGGGGCTCGTGTCAGCTGGCCTATGCGTAAATGCGTTTTTTAACATTTTCCAGCCCCCTCAGCCATTTTGAAACTGGCCACAGAGATGGCACATTAGTTTATTTTTTTCATGTTTTTATTATTCACAATAATAAAGTGATAAGCATACAGGAAGACACAAAACACAGCTAACAGTGATAATACATTGTTGATTTCAAAACAATAAACAAATAAGTAAAACCTTTTTGTATTTAGAAAATATGTCTCCATCCTTGTTCATAAATTGACCACGGTTATACGGATTTACTGACAAATATAAAGTATGTAATGTAAATTGAAGTAGAAGTATATGGTAGGAGATCATAACTTTTGCTTTTGAACCCCTTTTCTGCATGTGTACAGACAAATGAATGAAACAAAGTCTTGATACAATCACAGATTTATCAAAAACAAAAGTAAAGTGCAAAACCAACAATTTACAAGTCCAAAGTACGTATGTCTCTTGAGACCATGTCCAGATGAGGGTAATGTTAAGTACTCCGGTCATTCATTGCTCGTTGGTAATCTTCTCACTTGTGGGAAGGGATTCTCAAACAAATAAATATACACACAACAACTTAAGTACAAGCACAAAACAGAATGGCAACACGTGAAAGAGCAAAATACAGCACAGTAGAACACTGTGCTAAAAAGGACGTTTTAGCTTAGCTTGCTATCGATAGCTAAATGTAGCCAGTTCACTGTGTACAACAGACAATCACACTTTTACACAGTAAATACATTTCAGTGAGAGCTTTGGGTCAACAGGATACGTAACTAACCAGTAATTTCCAGGATTACCACAGACTAGTCACAAATGAAGAGCAATCTCCCTGAAGACCTTCTCGTTCTGTGTGCCGTGTTCCGTCGAGCTGCCTTTTAATGTTTTCTTCGGCCTAAAGAGTGTAACGTGTGGAGTGGACCTCGTCGACCGACCAGGGCCTTTTGGGGCTTTCTGTGCGATTCCATTTCTCTGGAGTGAGAAGGACATATTATAGCCTATTATAGATCCATGGTTATAGCAGAGCAGCCGGTTTTAAAGATAGCAGGGTTTGAGGGTTTTTTTACCATAGGGTTGGACGTCACTTCCAGTGACGACACTCGTTGGCCAATCAATGTAAGGCAGTCGCCCGACGTCACGTTATGGTGTAGCTTTGGCACACATGGAAGAGTGCCCTTATGTTCCCGCTAAGCTGTGCGCGTGTGCAATTGCGCAATGCTTTTAGGGTCTCAGCGCACAGACAACTCTTCCTTGCACACAATGAAAGACCAGCGTCCTGTGCCTCCAGCAAAAACAAAGTGGGCGCATATTTCAAACATGTATGGACCACGGTGGATCTGCGCAGGCTTCATTCTCTAAATAGAAAAAGTCAGATCCGAAAGCTCTCTGTCTGTGACCATGAGGTGCACTGTCCGAGTGCGGGAGAAGCGCCCCGACACAGAAGTCTGAATCTGCGTTTGATAAAGAACAGGGCTCGGACCAACTGCACCCTGCACACCGTGAACTCGGTCTTGCCGTGGGCTTGTGAGCGGTGTCTCACGAGCACTACACCAGCTGCAGAGAGTGCGTGGAGCCACAAACACACCTAACACGCACTTTCACATGTAGGGAAGAACGGGTCTGGTCAGACCTTCAGTTTAGCACAAAGTTGCCTATTGCTGAGTAAAGTTGGATTTGTGGCAATATGACTATTATTATCATAGATATTTATAGCTCTATGCCTGAATGAATTATCCATGGCCCTTGTGATGATATTTGATCGTTGCCTGCCATTGACGCATGAATACGTCAATTGCGTTTTCCGCTATTTTCATGTTCCCAGATGTCTATTATATCTAATATGTGTGGGATTAGTTTGAGAGCATAATTTATCGAGCCAGCAGGTGGCACCAGCACTCTCTTGATGGTTTGAAAACAGCTAGATGCACTTGTGCCTCTTTTTTCTCAGCTTTTTGGTGATTTCAGTAAAACTTCCCTCTACTCGACGGAGGATTACAGGGGAAGGAAACAAGCAAGAAACAAACAACGAATTTCAGATAGTCATAGTACACAATATTCTGTGGGTCTTGAAAAATCTACAAAAATCATCAGAAACTGCTGGCAATACGGGAGTATCTGTTCTGAAATAGGCTGGCAGGCAATGAGTTAATAAACATTGAACCAGTCCGGCCCTCGGCTCGCAGCAATTTTGTTTGTTACTCCAGCTACAGTTGAAGCTGGAGTAACTTAAATAAATGGGATCAGCAGGTGTGTACAGCAGGTGTATACAGGAGGTGTATACAGGAGATGTATACGGCAGGTGTATACAGGAGGTGTATACAGGAGATGTATACGGCAGGTGTATACAGCAGGTGTATACAGGAGGTGTATACAGGAGGTGTATACAGAGGTGTATACAGGAGATGTATACAGCAGGTGTATACAGGAGGTGTATACAGGAGGTGTATACAGGAGGTGTATACAGGAGGTGTATACAGGAGGTGTATACAGGAGGTGTATACAGGAGGTGTATACAGGAGGTGTATACAGGAGGTGTATACAGGAGGTGTATACAGGAGGTGTATCCAAATGTGAATGGTTTTCAACAGTGTTCCACGTGCCGCTCAGGGAATTTGTGTTTTTGCACTGACCCACAAAAAATTAGAGGGAACATTGCCCTTTTCCCAAGCCCAACCCTAGTGGAAATGCAAAATAACCGCGCCGTGCCGTGCCGTGCCGTACCGTACCATTACTGTGGAAGAGCGGCATTAGTCTATAACTGATACGCTCATTTGCACATTTAATACTTCACATGCTCCGCTGATTTTCAGAGTGCCCTTCACATTGTACGCTTGCTACTTTGTCTCACCAAGAGCATAAACTACACTACCCATAAGTTTTACGAGCGAAAGGCGCATGCATCACTTTTACCGCTGTAAACAACTCAAAGTGGTGCTAGCGGGTGCTGGTCACTGCAGTGCCGGACTCTCCTCACATTGGCCGAGCGCTCAAAGACACGACTACACCAGGGGTCTCCAACCTTTTTCCATCGGAGAGCTACTTTCATACAACAGAAGAGGCAAAGAGCTACTCTTTTTTAAACCTCTATGTAATAATTATGACAAAACATGGAAAACAGATGTAAAAAATACCATAACACTGTATGACCCTGTACTTATACTTATGATAGATATGTAATGATTCAAAAGTGAATTATTCAAGATCATGTGATAAATTCTAAATTCTTTGGGTAGCAAAAGGGGCTGGCGAGCTACTGTTAGCTACAGGTTGGAGACCCCTGGACTACACTCATGCTCTCACTCTGTGGTCTATGGAGTAGTGTAGAGAACAGTATGGCCTAGAGAACCAATGTAGGGCAACACAAATGTCTCCTCATGGTCTCTGTGGGCTGGTGTCGTCAGACCATAGTAAATGAAAGAAAAAAACGTCCAGAATCAGTGTCAAACCTGCCAGTCCTCCTGGTTAGATACAAGTGTTGGGTGTGTGTGGATCTATGTCAACAACCTTTTGTTTAACATTCTTTCACTACCATGTTGCCTTTTTAAATTTATTTCAGTAGTTCTTTCTAGCTCAAGCATATCCCTAAATGACTTTATAAAATTGATATATTATTTTCTACAAGGTTGTCCGTTGACAGTTATAAATAAAACTTCAGGGAAAATAAGTGCATTCGTTTGCATTTGAAACATGCAAGCATTCCCTGGGAGAAAAAAAAAAAAAGAGTGCCAACACTTTTTTTGTGCCACTTGAAGCACTGATCAGCACATTATATTTGTTTTTTGTCATTTATGGACCCCCACGTTTACAAAATAAATACGTATTTTCACTTAAAGCAATAAAATCACAGACTGTATATATTAATGGGCGTAGTCACGCCTATCTCCGCCGTTCTAACTAATGGGCCAAAAATTGGGCTTTCATGGAGTGATTCAAAATAACCGCGGGGGCTGGAAAATGTGAAAAAACGCATCTGCGCATGCATCAGCCGGCACGAGCTCCCTTCTTTTAAACGAGTGACTTAAAAAATTCACTGCAAGTAAACTAGTGGTCCAAAAAATTCACCCCCCTCAGCATTGACACATGGATCGGAGCTTTGGGCCAAGAGCCAACTTTTGGACCATCCTGTAAAGACGTTTTCGAGAGGTCAGCTAATGCTATATGTTAGCATTGGCTAATTCTTCTTCTGGGTCCACCCTCATCGGTCCGGGGGGGGTATTGCAAGCATGTCAGCGCACGTCATTTTTGCCACTTTTGAGCCGGGACCCGCCCCGACTGAATAAAATCGGTGTTATATATGATAATTAGTTATACAGTACTTATTTGTCAACCAAAAATATTAAATAACAAAAAAATATATATAATACAATACAATACAATTTATTCTTGTATAGCCCTAGGTCACAACAGAAGTCATCTCAGAGGACGCAACAAAACCATTGAAATCACCAACACAGATCAGAGAATCAACAGTTAGAACACATGAAAAATATAAAGTAATTGTAGTAATTGTAGTAATTATAGGAAGTTGTATTATTTATTTATTAATTAAACAATTAATTTTTCATAGCAAAACATTTAATTCATGAACAAGTTCCTATATAAAGTAAATAAATATATATACATACAAAAAGGTGACAAGAAACCATTGTCTGATAAATAAAATACTGAATTTAAATATTCAACAACAATGGACAGTAATTTGAAGCATTCACAACATGTTTGCTTTGACTCGTTCAAAGATCTGGAGGACCTGAACTGCAGGGACACAGCCCTCTCGCACAATACAGATGGATCCTGTAGAGAGAAAAAATACATGTCACCATGGACTTGAAAACAACATTTACAGTCAAATATACTGTATTAACAGTCACCTTCATCTATCTTCAGGCAGTTGACAATAGTGGAGGCGACTACTTGATTGGACTCTCCATCACTCAGGACGCCCTGTAGCTTGTGTCCCAGTCGACTGCATGCAACAAGAGATAGACCAGGTTTAAGTTTAGGTTTTAGTTTTTTTAGTCATTCTGAGCCTCATTACCTGATGACCATGCTGTGGTGTGTGCTGTCCGCTTCTCCGCTGGGATTGGCCGAGGTGATGGCCAGGGGGCCGGTCATGTCACAGAGATGTACTGTCATAGTGTGGTCTGGGACTCGGATCATGATGCTGTCTTTGGTTCCTACTCGATCGTACGCCGCTCCTACTCCTGTGTATAAAGAAGATTGTCTTACAAATGTGTAACGTTTAGGCACGTTCACACATGGCCTGGTTCATCTTAAGGAAGAAAGACTATGCATTGTTTTTGTCCATTCAAAGTATTTACTTTGCCTTTTCATATTTTAGAATGTGAAAAAATAATAAGTCCCTATGCTACCACTATAGGGAAAAGTTGCTTCTTTTGTTCTTCTTTTTTTTCAAAATTTTAAAATTACTGACTGCCAACACAGCTATGCAATTGTATGGAATGTCATTTAACCTAATCAAACAATTTTATGGGAAAAACTGTGGTTTTGAAATAGGCAGAAAACAGTGATGTCCTGTAATTGTATGAAGTAATTGAGGAAGGAGCTTTTAGACTAAAGGGAATGACTTTGTTTGTGCCAGAAATCTCGGATGTTAGCGCAGTTTGATCTAAACACAACTTCAGGTTGGTTTTTGATGAGGGAACAAGGTGATAACATGGGTAAAAGCTCAATTAAGTTGATTTGCATAATATGTTTTCTATAACTGAATCGAATCTGGTTCTCTTGGAGAAAAATGCTTTAATTATGGATGTAGTTTTAGTAGTGTAGTTGCCTATTATACCTAGTTTAAAAAGCCATTCTCCTTTACTGACAATGCAGCTGATGCCTCCTGGGTACACGTTTCTCATGAACTCCCAGAGCAGTGGACTGAATGGAGGTTGAGCTGCAACCAACTGCTCCAAATTTGAGATGCAAATACAAACAGGCTTCTCTGCTGGTCTATCCTGGAATTACAAAATGCCTCCTTAGGAATACAAAAACATATCAACAAACAAAACACAATATCATGTTGCTATTTTACTTTGATATTGTAAATTTTCTCTATGGCGCCCGGATTTTTGCAGGATGCCGCCAAAGCATATACGGTGTCAGTAGGAATACCGCACACTCCTCCCTCTTCCAAAACAGCAGCGATCTTCAGCAGTCCACTGGTGAGTCTGGAGTCTGCCACAGGACAGGGGAGATGCTGGGTTGCCTCCGGTTTAAAGTCCTGGAAGACACCACAAACTACAGTATAGTACTTGCTGGACTATCAGCAGCTGATTTTTCAAGTTAGTTGAACCCTGTCGCCTATATACAGTAGCACGCATAGATTAGAGCAGTGTCTCCCAAAGTGGGGTCCGCGGCCCCCTGGTGGGCCGCGAGGGTACTGCAGGGGGGCCGCGGGAGGTCATAAAAAAAAAATATATATATATATATATATATATATATATATATATAATTATTTAATGTTAAATGTATAATGTTTTGTTTGTAATATTAAAATATTTGTGTTCATTATTTGACTTGAATAATCCACTGTAATCATTTTTGTATTACAATGTTTGTAGCAGAGGCTATTTCCCCAAAATAAAATAACCAGAAGAGCCTATTCTTAATGTTGTCTTCTTGGTTATTATTTTGGGGGGCCACTCAGACCCGTCAGATTTTTAAGGGGGCCTCGGTGTTACTGAGTTTGGGAATGGCTGGATTAGAGCATGCGAGAACGAGCCAAGTGTGATGTATAGTAAATTGAAAAAAAGGGACTCTAAAACCCAAACCAAAACCAACCATTAATATAGCTGTAGGTTCCATGACAGCTGATGGTGAGTCGTTTTTAACATTGAGGTCTAAAGGAAAATGTTTTTGGTAGCCCTGGTAAAATGAGTCTGCAGTAATGCAGTTCTACACCATGTCAGCCTAGCTTAAGCCAGCAATATCCTAACCAGATAATGTAATATATCTATAATGTATCATGTATCAGAAGAGATGGGAAGTGCAGTGAAACGCACAGGACTTCTTTATTTGATTGGGACTATTGTCGGAACAAAGTTTGGATATGCTTTGATCGTCTCGAGTCACAGCGAGTTAAAACACCTCGTCATGCTGTGTCCAGTTGAAACCGCAAGTGTTGCTTTACATCATGAAAACCTGCGGTATAGATTTAAGTCTGGCTTGTACGAGCACAAACACTTTATTTTACTGTTTAGCAGGTGCAGCAGATGTGTTCAATAGTCATGCAAGTACTGTATATCAAAGTCTGGAGATTTAAAAAACAACCACTAACCCTCAATAGTGCTCAACCAAGTGGTAAAAGCGGGTGCAATATGATGCAATTAATCAACGATGCCAGGGCCCCGTAGAGACAAATTGTGGAAAAAATGGCAAGCATGGCCACTGATAAGACAAACACATTAAGCAACATTATATATTACATTACATTATATTGTATGTTTCAAGAAGAATGCTTTATAGAACTTACTTTCCAGTTTGTACGGAAGACACTGCAACGTGGAAAGCAGGAAGCAGACCAGAACCACCTCCATAACAATTGTCATTAAGAGCAATACCAGGTTCCTAGAGGCCGCTAGAATCAAAGTGAGACATTTCAAAACAAAACCTTATTAAATATTGTAGTTTTCATCGGTTGCAAGGCTATCATCTATATATATCTTACCAATTAAAATCAGAAACAGGTTGATAACCAATAGTGCAATGGCCCCTGCTGTGAATCCATAGACTTCTTGAGAAGAAACCCAATGCACCTCCCCTGAAACAATGCATTTAACATTATACAGTGCTAATAACATAAAGCTAAACATGTTTGGGATCAGGTACCTGTAAATCTAAACCAGGTCCAAGTAGCCCACACTGCAACATAGGTGGATGAAATGACCGATCCAAATCGACCACTGTTAATTTGCAATCGGGTGACGTAGGCTTGAATCACTGCTCCTGGGATTAGGACCCAAGGGATTGTGAGGTGGTTGAAGGAGGAATTACTACTTGTCACATTTGCGTGGAGCGCTGATAGACTTGCAATGCCGTTTAGGAGATAGAAAAGTGCATCAGGTGTGTGGGTGACACTACTCTCGCTCACTGGCTGTTCATTTTTCTTCTGGCCTTCGAAATGCTTGATCAAAAACTTAGTAGAAACTGGTTTTGGACCCACCGGGATGAGTGACTTCTCAGCTATGGTGTTGATAAGTCGTGCAAAGGTGCCATAAAGAGAGACCGCGCAGAAAAGACTGCATGTTATACCGAAGATAACATAGAACACATGAAAAGAGATTTGAGAAATGGTTGAGATGGTGACCAGCAAAAACAGAAGATTGTGAATCAGTTCAAGCCAATCTGTGTTCAAACTCCCAGCGCAGATAACCAAAGCAGCCAGAACAAAGAACCAATCCCCAATCATATCTTTCCTGCTCATAGACAGTTCATCGTTGATAATTGACGATGCTATGAACTCATCCCATGCCTTGATAACCCAGTATGTTGTATGTAACCCAAATTTTGTAGTGTGATATGAATCTTGTCGTAAATTGGAATAATAACTAGAGAAAAGTTGAGCAAAAGCGATGATAGTGACCCATATGGCACCAAGACCAAAAAACTTGCAATAACCAAAACTGTGGAAAGCAAAAATGAATGGACAGACGACATCGCAGAAATATCCTAAAGCCATCGGTTCGGCGTATTTTGTGTTTTTCCTTTTTTCCTGGTCAATCTTCTGGGCCTGTGTGGAGCTGGCTGTACCCAGAAGGAGGACATTAAAGAGGGGAGTACCAAAACCTTTTAAGACAAGCCGCTGCGTCAGGCCTTTTAAAAGCAGGGCAGCTGAGCCGTAAATGGCAAAAATCAAGATAAGCAGCTCGAGTATGCCAGCGATGATCAAGGCCCAGGAACCGGCGACCAAACCAACCGCTTCGAATATAAGCGTGAAGGTAATTGCCCCGAAAACGAAAGGCATGATGTAGTTGACTGTGGCAGAGCAGAAAGCTAAAAGAAAGGATAGTATTATGTAAGGAATGAGGCCGGATATTGCTGCTTCTTCTAAGTAATGGTCCATAGGATTGTTGGATGATAGTGAAGTGTTGTCCCATGATGTTGTGTCAAGGATTGAGTTGTTGCCATCAGTGTGTTGCATTGTGGGATTTGGATGGATGGTGACAGAACCAAGGTAGATTTAGGTGGCACCATAGCTGCTCCAGAGTGCGGCATAACCGACGAATGCTGTGCCACTGAGATGGTCGAATTTTCGGAAGGAAAGGAGGCCGGCCACCAGCTGACAAAGGCCACCAAGAATAAGCAGCTGAACACCTGGAAAAGAAGGAAAACAGATTATGGAGAAAGTCTTGTGCAGGGTAAATGAATGAATATTTCAAAACAGTTATGAGTATATATTTATTATATATATGTAAAAAAATTCTTATGTGCGGTCAATGCAAGGCGGACCAGGAACTCATCCAGAGCTACCATAAAAGTCTCTAAGCTGTCATGATGTTCAAGGCGAAATACACACTACTGAAAACTGGTGGATGAGTCGTCTAATTAAGGTCAGAAGAGAGGTTTCTGTTGTCATTATTGGTGCCACCAGCATCTGAAAGCGTGATACTGTAAGCTAAGCAGGGAAGTTCCTGGTTAGTACTGTGGTGGTAGACCGCTGGGAACACCAGGTGCCATAGTGGGGCATCCCCGGCTGTAAAGTGACACACTGTTGTTGTGTTCTTTGGCAAGACACTTAACCCACATTGCCTAGTATGTGTCTAGTGTTCGTGAATAATTGTTGGTGTTCCGATGGCACAGACTTGTTGCCTTGCTTCCGTCAGTCTGGCCAAGAGCAGCTGTGGCTATCGTATTAGCTTTTCACCATTGTGTATACAGTGAATGAATAATGACATGTGATGTGTCTTTTGAGTGTCCAAAAAGCACAATATAAAAATTATGCATTATTAGTTTTACATAAATGACTTCAAACATACACTAACAGTTAATGAAAAAGTTGATAAGTTCATCATTCAGAATCTCCAAAATATGGGCAAAGAAAAGTATATCCCAATGGATGTATATAAAATATGGTTCCTACATTTGTCATTACCTGCGAGCATGTTTTCCACCCCTGATGATGAGACGCCTGTTCTGGCTGTGTTGAAGTTCTGCAGAAGCACGAGGAGAGCACTGAGACCGTTGGACAGCATGCCCAGGACTCCAGGCTCTCCATAAAAGCTGGCTGGGAAACCATCTGACCCTGACATATTGTTCTAATCAAACAAACAAAGCAGAGAGAGGGAGATCAGAACCTTTTTAGCAACTCTTTATTATGATCAGAGAGCAGAGAGCCAGTAGAGAAAAGCAGATAACATGCCTGACTCAAACCTGTGGCTTTTCCACATTATATGTACTCACCCTGACTCCATAGGCCGAGAGCCACATGAGGGAGCAAAGCAGCACATAGCCATGTTTGGGAGGACAGTCAAAATCATGTCTGGCGACTCTTTTCATTAAAAAAATCCCACTGTTTATCATACTTGCAACTTAAACACCCCTGTCTGGAAATGTTTGCATGTGACATTTTATTTATCTCATTATGTATGTATCTAATATGGACATAACAATACACAATACAATACAATTTATTCTTGTATGGCCCCAGATCACAACAGAAGTCATCTCAGAGGACTTAACAAAACCATTGAATCAGATCAGAGAACCAACAGTTAAAGCACACAAAAAATATAAATTACACACAATTAACAAACCAGAACGAATGCTTTGTTTTAAGTAATTAAGTAAATGTGCTAGCTTTCAACGCTAGTCTACGGGGGGCTTTTCCATTACATTTCATACAGTTCAAATACAATTTATACATGTGAACAACTTCGTCTCAATCTTAACCACTGTTTGACCACATTTTAATTATTTGTCAATATAAAGATAATTGCTGTTTTTTTTTTGTGTTTTCAAATATTGTTCTTTGACAATGATCCCACAAAACGTCAAAAGAAAGCCCGACGGTATTTTTCCCTGAGGTGATATATAAATTTGTTGTTTTATTAAAACTTTGCATGACTTGGATTGAATACATTTTTTTGACTTGACCCAGTCTTTGTTGCATTTTTTTTTTTTTACTACTTTATATAAATTCATCCAAAAGTGCTGATGACTATATTATTATGAACAGCCTCAGGAACTACAGAAGGCAAACTCAAACACACTTTTCTTTTTGCACACAGGTATTCTACGTGTGTAATCTGATCCCTAAATACAAAAGAAAATCGGAGTATCTGGGTAAACACATAAAGTATATTAAACATAACAGTAGTATAGTGAGAACTTACCTATCCGTGCTTTATCAGTCTCCCTCTACACTCTGGCAAATGGTTCGACATAAATAGTGTCAGTCCACAGACATGGGAGGAGTTCCTGAATTTCCCCCCACGTCAAGTACACAATAAGATATCTGAGAGGCGAGTTGACAAGAATCCCAATCCCCAATTTTTCCATTTCCTGAAACATGAAATACTGATGACCACTGAGGAAATTCCTTATTTTTTGGTGTGAAAGTAATCTTACCTCCAGTGACCTGTTTTTGACAAGGCAGTCGGGACTATATAAGGGAGGTGGTTTGTAAAATTGTCACTCTACACTTCTCAACAAGACCACAACACGAGAACAGGACTGAGCTGAAGGAAGCATGATGGGTACATTACTGGTGAGTTCTAACACACAAATTGTATCAGAAAGTGTTTGTGTGGGAAGCGGTCTAAAAGGAAATTGCAAATATTAAAAAAAATGTATTATATAAATATGAACACCTCAAAAAAGTGCTTGTCGAACCCTGATGTCTTCATATCCCTGAGAGCAGGCTGGGACTCACTATGGGAGTAGGGTGGTTATTATTCGGCTGAAATTAGATAATCACAGCTTATTAGTAATACACAATATATTGAAAATGCACTGTAAGCCATAATCGTAAAAATTATAACAATCAAAGGCCTGACATAAATCACTTTGCATGTAATTAATCGATCGTGTATTACTTTCACATTTACAGTTGAACTACAGATGGAAATGGACTTTTGAAAAATATACTAGTTTTCTGAGTTTCAACTATACTGTATATAGCTTTGATGCGAACATTCAATGTGTCTTTGGGCAAGACCCTTTCCCCACATTTCCAATAGTTTGCATGAATTGCATTTTTTTTGTAGTAAATCACAAAAGGATAAATTATAAAATCCATGTACCTTGTTCCTGCTCTCACAAACTGTCTAGTTCCACATGCATGTATGTTTTGGCCTTTGTCACATCTCAGATTTATGTGTGAAAAAGGGGCGTACCAGCCATCACTCAGCCAATCAGATTTCAGTATTTAGAAGATAAAAGGTTTTCTAATAAGATAAAGACAGTGTGTCGTGGTCAGATTTGTTCATAAAATTGCTCTGGCTGTTGGAACTAACATCGTGTAACTGAAACATCAAGCTTATCTATAATGAGCTGTCAAACGTTTAGATGCAAAAAGCTTAATAAATATAATATAGTTTCAATCTGTACAACAACAATGGGGACTAACAAAAACTGCCGACCTGATATTGCACCTCATATCGGTGCAATATCTTGAACTAATGTCAGAATGTGCAATATAGAATCACCTGTGTCACTGTATCTTTACTGAGTCACTGTGTCCCAGAGCCTTATGCTGCTAATGTACAGATGTAAACATACTGCTGCTAATGTACAGATGTAAACATACTGCTGCTAATGTACAGATGTAAACATACTGCTGCTAACATGTACAGATGTAAACATACTGCTGCTAACATGTACAGATGTAAACATACTGCTGCTAATGTACAGATGTAAACATACTGCTGCTAACATGTACAGATGTAAACATACGACTATATATTACTTGCACTAGAATACACAGTACTTCATACTTGCTTCTTATTATGCCAAATGTAGAGATTTTATACTTGAATTTCCCACTGTGCGACGAATAAATGATCTCTTAATCTTAATCTACCATTTACCAATTTCTGTCTCCCAGAAATCCCAAAGATCAGCTTTCACGGTCAGAAGACTCCACATATCTGCTCTGAAAGGTATGTTACATTACAATTATATAATAATCTGCCTATAGGTCGGACAATGGGTAATCTCTGTCAATGTTCTCTCCTCAGTGCTGGAGCGTCCTTCCCCTGAGCCCACAGTGACCGGCAGTTTTGGCAGATTTATCAGTGAGGTGACCGCCCAGCACCTGTCCCCCGTTGTGTTGGAGCGCAGTAAGAGGATGGTCCTGGACAGTATTGGAGTTGGTCTTATTGGGACTTCTACAGAGGTGTTCCAGATGGCCCTGCATTATTGTCAGGTCAGCCACATTCACACACACACACACACACACACACACAAAGAGAGAGATCAGAAAAGTCTATGCTGCATTTTCTAAAATTCTATTTCAGTAAAAAAATAAAAATAAAGCCCTAGATCACATCAGTAGTTATTTCAGAGGACTTTATAAATTGTTGTTTTGCCAACACAGATCAGAGCATCAAACAGCTCAAACACAAGAAATGCAGAACCAATGTCCATAAATGTTGATAAAAATCCATAAATGTTGTTGAGTGTCCTGGGTTATTATCACTGAGCTTGGACCTTAATGCATCTTCAACTAAAAACTCTAAGAACCCAGTGAGGGGCCCAAATTGAAGGAGGGATCCGCTCCTACGGACAGATGGGCTAAAGATCTATGACTCGGGTTGCTTATTTGATCTTATTTTAGTCTGAAAGTCCTATCTACTGGCCAACATCATACATGGGTTTTTTTGGAATATGTGTATAATGTAATGTATAATCACAATTTGCTCAAGAAAAAAAAAAACATTAGATGAGAATTACCATTGAATACCATACAATTCTAAAACATACGCTATTTGGGGAGTTATGCTGTCACATTATTTACACGTGTTATTTTTTATCTCTGTGCAGCACTTTGGAAGCTTGTTGTTTAAAATGTGCTATATAATTGGACATGAAATTAACCTACTGGTCAGTAAATCCCACAAACCCCAAACTGTTTAGGGACAAATGGAAGAAATGTGAATGCTTCAAACCAAAACATATTTTAGCATTTGTTTCCATTTGAGTAAGTAGAAAAGATTCATTCATTTCCCACAAATGTTTTCTTAATTCTGATGATGGAATACTAAATGTGAAGTGAAATGCTTTGCCTCCGCAGCACATGTACGGTCCAGATGGAGCCAGCTCTATTTACGGACGCAAGAGGACCAGACTTTCCCCAACATTGGCAGCCTTTGTGAATGGAGTAGCTGTAAGTGTATTTGTGTGGTATGAAAAATAGTAAATGTACCACGACTTCATTTAATGTTTGTGCTAATGTATTTACAAAACGCAATAATCGCATGTTTTGTTTGGGTTAAAGAAGATGTCAGCAACTTCAATTGTAATTCATTTTTAAAAGAATACACATTTTTGAGCATACAACACTGTGTTATCATGTAATTTTAGTATTTTTCTAAAGCAATGTATTCCAATGTATTCCGCTTTGCAAAACCGTGACCAATAAGATTTGTTGAAGGAGAATAGGTTGACCAATGGCAAGGATTTGAATAAATGTTGTCCATTCAGGAAGCTGTGAAGGTGATTATTAGGAGCGAGTCTAACTGGAACTCTGAAATTAAATGTTATACTGGCTCTTTTTTTTCAATTTGAAAAGTAACTGGCATTCACTTCAGCTAAGGTTCAGCTTGTCCTTTGTTGCACCGTGCATGTAACTGTAATTCCCACAAAAGCCTAAATCTCGTGTTTCCAGACTCACTCCATGGACTTTGATGATACATGGCACCCTGCCACTCACCCCTCCGGAGCGGTCCTTCCTGCTGTGTTAGCGCTCAGCGACATGTTGCCAGTCCAGCACAAACCCACCGGTCTGGACCTCCTGCTGGCCTTCAACGTCGGCGTCGAGATCCAAGGACGGCTCTTGAGATTCTCTAATGAGGCCCACAACATTCCCAAGAGGTGTGGAATTGTGTAGTTATTGAAAGCACAGTGGAGGTGGCATTGCACAAAACAAGTGCATCACAGTCGAACAAAACTGACAAACAAAAAAACAAACAAAAATATAATCAACTTCATTAGAATGCAAGAGTTTGTTCCAGGTCCCAACAGGAGATTACGTTGTTTGGTACAAAATGTCCTTTAACCATGTTTGTGTCAAAGAAAGGGGGAGAAGGTTGTTTTGTTAGTCTATTTAATTCACGCTACTGGAAAATAGATTGAAATCATGTCCTCGTTCTACAGCCTGGATCTACAGCTTGTATGTCCATCTCTCAATGTGGGCCTGCTCGAGGATGGTCACTTTTTTCCGACTGTTTTTGAGTTGTTCTTACGATACAAGAGGGTCTAAGGACAGTGATGATCCCAGACATTTTAAGGAAGTGTATTCACATTTATGGATATAGGTCATCCCGCTATGATGTGATTTCCTGATTTGATTCTCTGTTGCAGTTAAAAATAAACTGAAGTGAATTGAATGTTAATTTTTTTATTTTAGTCGGTGGGCATGTGCCAATCGTATGGGCAAGAAGAGAATGCCCAAATGTTTTCCAATATTTAATTGTGATTAGATCCACAAACCTATTCAACTATTCTTATGTTTCAAAGTCCTCTTCACAATTAACATGTATGTGTTTGAATATTGTCACCACTTCTTGACATGAGATAATATGAGAAAATAAGTAGACCACCATTGATAAATACTGACAAAGAAGATCTAGAACTTTATGAAACCTTTTTTCATGTAGATTGGCCCAGGGATTAGAAAAAAAATTGTGCTAAACCAAGGCTTGATTTTTACAATAGTAATTCTAGCTCTATTAACATGATTGTGAATGGTTTAGTCACACAGTAGAACACAAATATTACATTTCTAAACACAGATGAACGCTTGTGAAAATGGTTGCTGATTGACATTCGAACACAATTACGTTATTAACGATTGCGCTTGTTCATTTGCAGATTTCACCCTCCGAGCGTGGTGGGGACCATGGGCAGTGCTGCAGCCTGTGCTCGTCTGCTGTCTCTAGATAGCTCCCAGTGCAGTCACGCGTTGGCTATAGCTGCCTCTCTGTCTGGTGCTCCCATGGCCAACGCTGCCACCCAAGCTAAGCCTCTTCATATCGGCAACGCAGCCCGCTTAGGTCTTGAAGCCGCCCTGCTGGCCTCGAGAGGACTGGAGGCGAGTGCGATTGTTTTAGATGACACCCCTGGAGTCGCAGGGTTCAGTGCTTTTTATGATGATTATTCTCCTCGGGGTTTGGAGATGCCAAGTGGAAACAGCCAATTTCTATTAGAGATCCAGGACATGGCTTTTAAACGCTTTCCTGCTCATTTGGGGATGCACTGGGTAGCAGATGCCGCAGCCTCCATCAATGGGCTCATGGTGGGGGCTGGTCTTGGTTCAGTTCTGGCAGATCAAGTGAAGGAAATCTCCATCAGAGTGCCGAAATCTAAGTACATTAACAGGCCCTTTCCTGAATCAGAGCACGAGGCACGACACTCATTCCAGTTCAATGCTTGCTCTGCTCTTTTGGATGGACAAGTGAGTGTGTGGTCTTTTACCCCGGCAGCAATCAAAAGGCCTGGACTGCGCGCTCTACTAAACCGTGTGAGAGTTGAGCATCCCCATGACAACGTGGCCAATTTTAACCTGATGTACGGCGAGGTGCAGGTGACGCTCAGAGAAGGAGCTGTTTTGATGGGTCGATGTGACACGTTCTACGGTCACTGGCGTAACCCCCTGTCCAATGAGAGTCTGAGAAACAAGTTTAGGAGCAATGCGACAACAGTTCTTCGATCAGAACAAGCGGAGGAGCTGATTGAAGTGGTGGAAAACCTGGAGAAAATGGAAGACTGCACTCGTCTCCTGTCAAACCTGCACTGAGCTACAAACTATGTTCTACTTAAAGCTGGGGAACCTCAATTTCAAACGACATTGATGAAACTTTATGATGAGATCTATAGTTTCTTGTTCTTGACCAAACCTCACTCATTATAAACACAATGAAAAATCACATTACACTGAAATTCTTTAATCGTGGAAACAAGAAAAATGTATTTGAATGCAGATTTAACAATGACAATTTGACAATAAGAAATTTAATGAAATTATGAAATGGTCTTAATGTATCAAGTGACATCTAGTTACAGCATTTTTCTCTCCTTATTTTCATGACTCATAAATCCTATTGGTCCTAAACGTTAAAAAAGAACAATTATCTAGTTTTAAACTGAGCATTTCTAATTCACAAAATAAATGTAGTGCAGTCATGCAGAGATGATAACTTTAGTTCATTGGTTATAGTTTGAGACCTCAATCAGATTGTCATCAGGGTCTCTGAAGTAAAGAGAGGTGATGGAGCCCATTGCCCCAGTTCTTTCCACTGGCCCTTCTTCAATTCTAACTCCACATATCTGCAAAACATAGGTACATACGTTTTGAACATGAATATGTATCGTAAACTTTGTGACCACTTTACATGAAGGTGTGCAGCCACATCGGCCAAAGGGGTTGTTGTGATGAGACAGAGGTCTGCAGAACCTGGCGTCGGATGCTTTGCTTTCGGCTCAAACTCCTGACCCAGCTGATGGAGGTTCAACTTCTGCTGTCCAAAACCTAAAGCTTTACGATTACCCTAGATCAGTGACAAAAGAATGATATGGTCAAAATGTTTTGTAAAATGTATGGGGAAACTCAGAATACACTGTGATTCAACTTACAATGTGAAACTAATGACTAAAGTGAGATGTCCAGCCTATATTTGTTATAATGTGGATAATTGCTTATAGCTCGTAAAAACCCCAAATAAAATACTTTAGAGAATCAGAATCTTATAAAAATAGACTGTACTGCATAATCATAACATTAATAACAAGGGCTTGGCATGTCACCTTGCATGTAGTGAGTCTATATCATTATTTTGAATTATATTTGGAGTTTAATTATGAAGATAAATGGTCCAACTGGTCGAACATGAGTTTTGAAACAACCAAAACAAACCCGACATCTGGTGGCCAGTTGTATAAATAATAGTTGTTACTGTCAAAAGAACTCATTACAAAAATGATAAAGCTTACAGATGAACTACCTTAAACGTGATGACTTCCATCCCAAGAACAGCAGAATAAAAGTGAATGGTGTAAGGAACACTTCTGACGGTGAGCACCAGGTGGTCCAGGCGCGTCACCGCCACAGGACTTCTGCGCTTGGCTCCTCGGAGAGTCTGAACTACTGCTGCCTGCTTTCAGAGCCGAGGATATATTATTATTTATTTAAGTTTATTTGAATAGGGACAAGTATGTCACATAAGCTCATGTTACATACTACAACATTTTAGCCAAAGCTAATTCTCAATTCTTATGTGTATTATAATAACAAACACATTAGCCTGAAGTATGACGATCTAAAGTCCTTGTTGGATGGAGAACAGCGCCGCACTGTGGTCATTGCGTATAAAAGGTAACATATTTCAGGGGACGGACATGGCAACAAAGTTAGATATTTCTAAAGCATTCCATTCACAACATCGCGTATCAATAAACGAATATAAAAGTACTGATTTTGCATTTCCAGCAGTGCCTTTGAAGATATATTCTGATCTAAAATGAAATCACCACCTCCACTAAACCGCAGAGACACACATGAGATCAGCGTCGGCATGTTTATACAAATACGCATTTTTAAGATAAAAGCAGCTACCTTCATAAAGTGTCTCTGAAAAAGACACAAGCGACCCGCAGCTTTACCGAGCGCCATCCCTCTCACAGACATCGTCTCTCATAGACACTTCCTTGTTTGACGGTCTGAGCCGGACGGGACACATGCATGATGATAATAATAATCCCAATAATGCATAGTTTATAACGCTTTTCGGACACTCGAAAACGCGTCACATGTCTTGACTATTTCACTCCAAACACGGTGGTGAAGAACTACTACTTTAACCTCAGCTGCCCTGGGGCACACAGAAGCGAGGCAGTCAGTCTATGCCATCGGCCCCTCCAACAAACAACCAACCATTCACGCATACAACACTTATTTAGGCAATGTGGGTGAAGTGTGTTGCCTAAGGACAGGACAGTTTGGCACTTTACGGCCGCTCCACTGTGGTATCTGGTGTTCCCTGAGGTTTCCAATCATGTTTATAAGACAGAAGAAGCCCCTCATGTAGTTGATTCTGAATATATAAATAAATGTAGGCTTTCATACAAAGACACCCCTCTATATTAGACAGATTTGATGTGTGTTCTTTATTCTTTATATTATTTAATAAAAAATGTCTAATTGTAAATAAATTTTTGTATAACCTCAATGTCATTAATTTCAATGAAAACACTCAATGTTACTCAACATTGTTTAATGATACATACATTATAGATTTAAGTGAACAAATGTAAAGTACATAACTGTGTAAAATACCAGAAATAAACACATCTCCTATATCGAACCTTTAATATGTCAAAATTACTTAAGTCATTTGTTAATATAAAATAATAAAAGGCCCATCTGTCAATCATGTATTTCAAAAGAAAACAAAAACATGTCATGGATTCTTTATTATGGCCCAAAATTATCTTACAAGCATATGTACAGCTAATACTTTAAAGGGAAAATACAAAAGAGAACCTGCTGAAAGCCTCAATACATATACTCCTCACAACTGTCTCCCATATTTTTCATTCTGCCTGCGCCGATTGCTTTTCCGGTGCATAGCTGCTGTATGACTAGTTGATTTAAACAGCATGCAAATCGTGTGAGCAGGGTTGAGTTACATTAACAATTGTCTTGCTAAAATTAACAAGTGCCATGTTTAGGAAACACCCCATCCGAATTGCATTACTACATTATAATTAACTAATGAAAGAAAAACTTCAAACTGATAACACTTCTTTAAAGACTCTCATGGAGGTTGGATACTACATAATTTAATTTGAGACTTATGGCCTCTAGCGCAGCTAGACCACACTCTCCCGACTGGCTGACACCAGGACAGCTCTGCGGCAAATGGGACACGTGGAGTTCTCTGACAACCAACGATCAATGCAGTGAACATGGTATTCATGAGAGCAGGGCAACTTTCGAAGCTTATTACCTTCTGCATATTCGGTTATGCAAACACTGCAAGTCTTTAGGGCATCACTCTCACCAAAGTTGCGCATAGAGAGATTATCAATCTGTTCTTTGGTTAGTCCTTGGGGTTGGTCTTCATCATCATCATTTAATAGGAAAAAGTGAGCAAGGCGGAGGAAAGGAAGAGAACTGGGCTCCTCAAAACTTATCGGAGGCCTGGGTCTTGCCCGACCACCTACAGCTGGAGGAGGAGCGTCGCCTTCATCTGAATTTCCCTCAACTGTCCGTTCTCGAGCCCCATCTGGCGCAGATTGCTGGTCACTATCATTTGCAACAGGGACAGCAGCCGTGGGTGCTTCACCATTATTAAGGTCAGCTTCAGCCATATCTGAAGCTGTGTTTATACCACGATTAGAGTCCGTTGAATCGGAGTCTGAATCCATGAGGTAGCCAAGTTCACCAAAACCAGTCATTATTTGACGGATCATAGACTGTAGTGCCATAGATGTAGCCTCTCCTAAACCTGCATCAGAGATCCGCCTGATGGGGATGCGAATGGTACTAACATAAGTCCTGACACCAGCACGCTCAGAGCGTGAAAAAGTCCGGCGGAAACCACCACGCTCACTTTCATAGAGGAAGGTATTGTTTGAGTTCTGCGAGCGGGAGCGAGTGCGACTGGCAATGCTGTCTCTTTGCCGATTCTCCCCAGGTCGCACGCGGCGGACCTGGAGATCAAGCATAATCGTGGGAGGGCGTCGGCCAGTTGCAGTCCCATCTCCACCAGCAGCCTCCCCCTCCTGAGACTCAGGATTGGTGGGCTCAGCAACAGTTTCTACCGAAGCCTGGGGAGGCTGAGCCTCTTCATCATTAGGGCTCTGCCGGGCAGAGATGTGTTGTCGAGTCCGAGAACTTCCCTCATCCTGAGCTATAGGTGGATTGGCATTACTGGAATTTGAGCTTTGAGTGCCAAGAGATGCATGTAGGGTTGGAAGAACATATGGCAGTTCAAGTGTTAGAGGGGAACGACTTCTAGCTGTCCGTGCCCTTGTCCTGCGAGACTCAGGACTGCGACTGCGGGGTCTTCTCTGTCCCCTGCGTGGAGAGGGTATCAGTGGAGATGGTACAAATTCTGGTGGAGTTTGTACAACAGCACTCTCGGGTGATGATGCCGGTTCCGGTAGTACATGTTGTGGAACTTGTTCAGGTTCAGGCTCTGGTTCCACGATTACAGCGAGCTCTTCAACCACTGGTTCTTCTACAACATCCGTCTCCATAGGGGCTGGAGGATCCGCACTTTCCACTTCTTCCTCTTGACCCTCTGGAGCCACCTGCTCACCATCCACAGCCAAGTTACGGTTTACACTGATTTCCAGACTGAAGCGAAAGTCGCCACTGTTTGGATTGGTTTGACTTACAGCTCGCCAGGACTGATTCCCACGATGACCAGTCCTTGTCGTGTTGCCTGTGCGCCTCACTGTGTTCAGCCAGTGTAAAAGACTATCTCCATTGACAGGCTCCTCTGGGTTTCTTGGTTGGTCTGTAAAAATATATAAAGGTGGCATAAACGAGATAACACTGTCAATATCAGACAATTTCAAATTACCCTTACCACCATCATCCTCTGCATTCTGTAAACCAGGAGCATTACTCTGTTGGTCCAGACCATCTTTTATTTGCTGAAGCCTACTGATCAACTCATCTTCAGTCACCTCACCTTAAAAATACAACAATAATTACACGCATTTGCATCATTTATTCAGTATACATATGCTGTAACATCAATAAAACAAAAGCAATTTATCGGAGCACCAACAACTTGAGATAAACACAGTGACAGGACAATACCAAAAACCTCGACACTTACCAGGGCATGCCACTGTCCACTCTATGCCCCCTCTCCCTCCAGGATGCTCCGCTAAAGGATGCTCCAAACTTATATTTTCCCTCTCAATCTCCTGGGACAGAAATTAATTGGACGCTTCAGTTGCCCATTGTCAGCTACATTCTGAGAATACTACAATTTACATATGTTTAACTAACTAATTGTAATTGAAGGCAAACAGCCTCCTTACTGAAGAGGACCTAATCTGAGATTAAATACCAGCACACTATCTAAAATAGACCAAATATTTACTGTTTTCAACGTGCAACAATAGAATGGAATGATTCTGTCTTATACCTGGTGTCCCCAGAAGATTGTTGTCTCTCATAAGACGGTAGTCCTCATCACTGAGGTTATTAACAAACTGGTAAAACGCCTCTTCTCTGTCCAGGCGGTCGAGCTGACTTCTCCGCTGGGACTCTGATTGGTCACTGCCACTTTGATCAGTCCCGTCTGATCCTTCCATTGATGCAAAAAGTTCACGCGTGGTCTTCCACGAAAGATCAACAGCTGCAAGCAAAAAGACGTGACTGCTCACATTATCATGCCTTTACCAAGATAAAGAGATGGCTGAATTCACGTTAGTTAGAGATTTATATTTGGTATTCCGTTTAAAAAATATTGTTCTGCGGGTTACAAACAACATCACAGCACCAATACAATATGTTACAGTAAGAAGTTAAAGCGTAGCAGCAGTCATGTCAGAACTAGGGCAGGTTGTAAGAGATACAAACAAAATGGAATCACCTAGCATAGGCAGCTAACATTAGCAGTATCCCCTAACTGCGATACGAAAGGCACACATTTCATTAAAAAAATGACATGTCCTCAAAATAAGTAATACAAGGAAATTTCTATGGATATAATTTACAAGAGTACGTCCACAGTAGTGCCAACAACAGCTAACATCATCTCCCATTTCATTATTAGACTAGTTAGCCACTGTTAGCTTAGCTACAACATTTGTTGTTTTTCGAGTGATAGTTGCGCGTTCCAAGCATCGATACAAGTGACACAATAAACATTAGAGTGGACGTGCTCCGTCCTCTTTTCATGTGAACCTATAAGCATATAATTCACATCAAATCAGCATTACCACAGACCAACGGACGTCAAGAAATGACGTCCCAATATCTAACGTTAGCTAATGTCCCGTAAACATTGTGAAAACACCATCGAAAGGTTAAAGATACAGTCAACACATTATGACACAGATATACACGGTCGAATACAATACCGAGTTTGTGCTGTTTGAATCAACGTGATGGTCAGACGATGTTTGTTCAATTATTCTGTAACAACGCTTCACTGTTTGTCTAAGTGCGATTGGTTTCCATTTTCTTTCTTCGGGAAAAGGGTACTACCATGGCCGTCTTCCGGATTGTCACATTTTCCCTGTATTTAAACTTGCAGGCAAAACACAACAAAACAAACACAACAAACAAACCACAAGACATTATATTTTTATATGAATGGGACATTAACTATATATAATACTTGTGAATTTATTTTTCATGGTACAGACAACAATAGCCCATCTTTTACTGTTAATTTAAACACATGTGCAATTCATAATAAACTAGTGTTCCTTTATTATTTTATCCTCAATGTATACAATAGCATTTCATTTTAAATAATATTAAGTGTTTTTTACTCATACTAGTATTGGCATCGTTGTTTATCACAGAATTAACCTGGAAGACAAATTTCTGGGTTTAACAATGGACAGCATGTTTGTGTCTGGAACTGTAGCGTCACTCTGCGGTACTGCGTGAAACTGCGTAGTGCAATCATGAAACTGCCTCCAAAACCCCCACAGAGGAATTAAACTGAAAGTAATTCATATACTATACATGTAATAGAGAGAGAGAGAGAGATACATTTAAATCTCTCTCTCTGTATTGCATAATTACGTCACTTGCATTTTTGTTTTTACTATGAGTGACTGAAAACAAAACGATGCTAATACCGCCTGACAATTTTGGAGGCATATATCACAGGACCTGTTTATGGTGTGAGACAGTCTCTCCAGCTCCAATTAAGCATGCCAGAATGAGTTGCAGTGTGGACCACAGCAGCCCCTCTTTGAGTTATGGATGAGCAGTCACTCTGGCGATGCCTGACCCTGAGTGCTAATTAGATATGACATTAAAATAACATGAGCTGGAGCCAGACTTGTGCACAAATTAAAGTAGCTTTCATTGTAGGGTTTCAGTTACAGAAATGCTCTATTTGGAAAACTAAATCTCTATGTACAATGGGAAGAGGGCAGCTGTTTTCATTTACTTAACATATATGGGTGTTGTATTGATTATAAATATACTGTATTTACCATTAAGTATGACTTTTACAAATTCACAGAGATGCGTTACAATGTAGTGCTTTATTCATTCCTCTCACTCACCATACTGGTCACAGCTGCCTGGGCTAGACGGAATGGGGTGGCCTCACTGGTGGTGCCACTGGACCCTCCAATCAATCAGTCATTTCCTCAACAGTTTGAAAGTTTAACTACAAATGACAGCAGTCTCTCACTCAAGTGCTAAACAGACCCTACACGGTGAATCTGACGTCTGGCAAGATCAGGCTTTAACAAGCACGTATGGCCACGCATCTTTAGATTTTGAGTAAAGAGTTAAATACCAACTGGGCGACAGTGGCTCAGTTGGTAGAGCACTGGCCTTTGGGCCTGAAGGTCGTGGGTTCAAGCCCACCATACTTCACGGCTCCCACTGATGACTGCTGTCGTTGTGTCCTTGGGCAAGACACTTAACCCCACTTTGCCTGAAGCCCCCACTGAAAGATCTCAGCTCCTGTGGACTCACCACCTGCAGGAGGATCAGTGAGGGGCTGGTGCTAAGTGTACTGGGTGCAGCTCTGACTGCCACCCCCCGACCTAGAAATGGATTAAGGGGAAGAAAATGGATGGATGGATGGAGTTAAATACATAGTTTATCAATCACAATGAATGATGAATTATGACTGTTTTATATGAGAAATACATTAAAAAATACACACCAATTCTATTCAGAAAGCAGCATTCAAAATCTTATTTTAATTTGTATATTTACTCCATAAACATTATTACAAAACTCAGCAAGTTACCAATATTACATTATCACCATACAGGCTTGATCACAAATATTTAAAACCTTTGCAACAGTTACAACAAAACCAAAACAAAATAATACTCAAATAATTTACATGAAAATCTATAAAACAGCAAATTGTTCACAAATTATATTTTTTAAGTTTTCATTTTTTCTTGCTTATTTGTGTTTTGCACAGTAACACAACACTCCCACAACAAGATCATGGTCTTATTACAAAACTCCCAACAAAATGTAAATATTTGTAGTTTTCTGTTGATACTTTCATATTTTGGTTTTTAAAACCAGAAACTTGTCGCAGTAATATCCTTTCCATTGCCCACAGAGGCGCATAAAAGGTTACTCACACACACAAATACTTCACAGCACTTTCTAAGAAAAATATACACTTACAAAATATGTTACAAATTGGCACACAAAAAATATACAAGATTTTGTAGTGTCAAGAGTTCATTAAGATTCCTTCAGATAACAACTCTAGACAGTATATATAAAGCTCGGTAATCTTTTAATGAAAAGAGAAAAGTAATTTCTGATGACAAAGAATTATGAAGTGAAAACATCCAACGTAACGTTTTAATATACATTCATAAAGAGGGTTAGGTACCTTATATATTTTGCATTTCTTTTTTGTCAACTCTGGTAAACAAAGGATGAAAACAAAACAAAAAAGCTTTCTTAGCACCATTAACATGAGGCAGCTCAACAGTGGCACACTTGAGAACATAAAGAAGAAAAGTAGATCAAAATAAATATGAACTCAGATAAGTACATTCAATTTGACAATAGGCAGACATGAGAGAAGGCAGACGAGATGGGCGCGCAGCCCATGTGGAGCTTCCCAACAGCAGCTTGTCTGGGTCCTAACCCTGATTCACTAGAGAAACCAAACCAATGATATGATAAGAGGATAAAGAAACGATTCAGCCTTGCATAGTGCAAGTCTCAAATAATGTAGGTTGTAACCTCAGATTACCTCACCCCGTTTGTTTTGGGGGTTTGCTTATTAGTCTCCAAAGAAACACAAAAAAGAAAGACAAAATTAAAAGACGGAATCTTTCATTTGATATGGTAATTATTATGTTCTTAGATTTTCACATATTGAGCTTATGAATAATATAGTTACTTAACTCACCATAAAAATGTATTTGTTGATTGATAATTGTAGTGCAAAATAGGCTGGACTTGGGTAATACTGCAACACATATTCATGTTAGCGTGAAGAACGTTGATAGATTTTCATGCTTCTTTAACTTGTATTAAGCACTCTGCCAGAACATCACATAAAACATAAATGAAGCACTTGTGTAAACATTTGATTGGTAGATAATGAATGAAAACATGTCAGTACTTCGCAAATGGCGTTTTTGAACATGTAAAACATAGGACATCCATATGACGCTCATTCAAAAGAGTTTTCTTGAAATTACTGATGCCAACTGACTGGTTTCACATTCACATAACTGCAAAATGTCATTTCCTTTGCTCATTCACAAGTGAGCTGTGCAGAACCTCTACATGAAATCAACTTTACAGTACAAAACAGCACTTGAATGAGGCACAGCTCTGTACCTTAGACGTCTGCTCTTGTCTTCACGGGGTCCAGAAGAAACATGTTCTCCTGACAACAGCAACCTTTGCTCATGTGTCGATGCTGCTCAGTGCCAGACGATGGTGAGGTAAATTTAATTTGGCAAACAATGTGGGGAATTGAGGAATATTCATAGTCTTTCTGATTTGGTTTAGTGAGTGGCAGACTACCACTGCTAGCTGTTGGTGCCTTTCAACACAGAGTGAAGTGTCCCAAATAAAATATTCTTTCAGTCTTTAAGGATTTCTAACCCGAGCAGCCAATAATCCATTGGATAGAAAAGAGGAACAGCCAATATTCACACATATATAAGAGGTCATTTACACAGCATTGTTACTTTTGGCACATTGATTTTAAGATTATAATCATCTTTTTTGCAAATATTGCATGTCCCTGTACAACAACATTGACAAAAATACTCTGAGGGTGGAGCTTTTATGAACTTGCAAGGCATAAAAATGTAAATTTAACCAGTTCTCTTGAAAAGAAAAAAATAACATTGTTGAAAAAAGAACAGTAGTCATTCCAACGTTGAGGGTTAATTACATAGGTCTGATATGTTGTCAATACAAAATGGTCCCATCTTGTGTTTTCAAGATGTCTTGGGCTTAATATTGGCTCATTTGTGGTTGGTTTCTCTCTTGAAATGAGCCAGGCAGTGTATGAAGGACAGCAACAACAGGACATCCATATTCTGCATACAAAAAACAGATGGGGAGGGGGTGCGTAGATGTCACTTAATGCATTTGTGTAAAGAGCTACATCTTTAGGGAGGATGGGGAAAATACAGGATTCAGGGGAGCTAGTCCTGCTGAGAAAATATGAAAACAAAGTTCTTCCAAAAAGGCGACAAAACTGTTATCAAGGCTTAATCTTGTTTTTCTTTTCAGACAAAATAAAAACAAACAACTATATAAACAAACAAAGCAGAAACAACAAAAGCAAGAAAAATGCAGCCATGGTCGTTTCAAATCTCAATCAAGCTCGACACAATCACTCCATAGGTAGTTTGCAAAGTACAAGAAAGTTTTTCATGCAGATATTAATTTCTTCTTTGGGGGGTCAAAGGAAGTGGGAGTAGTCAGGGGAAGGAAACGTAGTAGTCATGCAGCTCTGGCATAGCGTTGGTGTGGGTATGCATTGGGAGAAGTTTGAGCAGGTACTGGAGGGGGAGTGAGAAGGGATGCGACAGCCGCTGATAAGAAAATATTACCTCAGTTTCTCAAAAGAGGTCATCAGTGCTATGTCTTTATTTGGGTCTCTTTCAGCTCGCTTCCCCTTCAGCGTTTCAATGCGAGGGAACTTGGCACTGGTCTTATGGCGGTACAGTTTTTTGTGTGCGGGACCAGGGTTAATGAAGTTGGGTTTGTCAAACATGTTGCAGCCAAGAGCGAGCTGAGGAAAAAGCGGGTGTGAAGGATTGAACTTCGCCTGGTTTTTTCCACCTTTTCCGCCTGACTTTCTGCCACGACCAGCCCCCGCCAGCACCGCACCTTTCTTTTTCAGGTCGGCCTCTGTACCTGCCAGTATTTTAAGTGTTTTGAGGTTGAGACTGTTGGCCTCAGGGGATATGCAGGCCTCAGACATGGGGTCCCATAGTGGCTCAATGGAGGCCATCATGAATCTCTGGACCTCTGCCATCCCCGAAACGATGTTTGACAAGATATTGGATGGCTCCTCAAACTCTCTCTGGTCATCACCAACCAGAGTGTTTCCTTCGGACCAACCTGTTCCAGACAAGTCCCCGGTTCCACTTTCTGACAGGCCAGCTCCCTCTGCTTGGTTCTTGGCAGCCTTACCCTCCAGCATGGCCTTTATCTTTTTGGTGGAACGTGAGCTCTGTTTTGAAGTTTTGACCTTGTCAGACTTGGGAGCTCTTGGAGTGCGGGGTTTCTTTGGGCTCTGTCCTGTAGGCTGTTTGTAGTTACCTTTTTTCTTTGACTTATTACTTTTGGCACCTGTCTCATCAAATTCTTCGCCTGGCAAATCTTTTTTGTCCAAGTTTAGGACATCCTGACTATTGAAGTTGTGCAGAGAGAACTGCCGGTCCTCTGCAGGATAGGGGCTTGTTGTGTGCTCTTGTTGCTGCATAACGTCACAGTTCCACTTTCCATCTCTATTAGAGTCCATATTGATGTCACTTACATTGTGATACTCTCCACTATTTCCAGGAATCTTAATGTCTCTGCCCACCACCTGTGGGGATAAGTTTGGCGTCTCAGGAGGCGATAGCTCAGACAGTGATGAGTGTCTGAACTTGTCAGGGGTGAAGTTGGAAATATCCAGCAGGTCAGAGGATTCCCTGAGCGGGGTAAGAGAATCCACACTTTGCTGAATCAACACTTTAGGACTGCAGTGAGCTAGGAAAGTGTCTCGGCCCTCCTCTTCCTGCTCACGTTCACAGGACTTGAGGCTCAGAGAGCTGTAATTGCTAGAGGAGGCTGACAGTGAGCCTACTGAGTCATAGCTGATGAGCCGGCCATTGTCTGTGCACAGAGAGCCTCTCTGGTATTGCACCTGGCCCTCTACGCAGGCTGACTGACATCCCTGCAGGTCTGCCCCAGGCTGAACGGCCTCTGTCAGGTAGCTCTTGTCATAAACCAGCCTGTCTGTTGGTGGGCTCAGCTGGGTGTAGTTTGACACTGGCAGCTTGTCACTCAGTGGCACAGCGGTGGAGAAATTATTGGGTAAGATTGGCGTCTCAGGGGTGTCCGGTCCAAAGTTCTGGCTGTGACTTCCACAGAGCTGTGAGTGCCACACAGGGGTAAAGCTGGAGCAGTTTTGAGGGGACTGTTGGAGTTCCGACTCCGAGGGAGGAGACAGTACACAGCTCTGAGCGAGCTGAAGAGAGGAGAACTGTTTCTCCTCTAAGGACAGCCCCAGAGGAAACGTCTGCCTGGAAGGCTGCTGGGAGAAATAGGGGAGGTTGGCAGCAGCAGAGGAGTCGGTGGCATCTAACAGGGTCTGCAGGTAGCCCCCCGGGATGACAGGGACACCCGCCTCTGCCTCCTCTGTAGAAGGAGCTTTGTCAGGGGAGCAGGAGGATGAGACAAAAGAAAATGGCTCTTCTTGGGATGTTTGAGCTGTGCTACTATTATCAGGGAAATTAGGTTTGACTAGGGCTGAGCTGTTCACTTCCTCAAGCTCAGCAGTCGGCTGCTCTGCCTGTGCTCCTACAGCAAAGGCATCTGATTCATTTGTCATGCTCCTCCCCTCCTCCTCTGCCTCTTTCAAGCTCCTCAGCCGTGCTTCACTTTTGAATTTTTTTATCCTGATTGTTTTATTTTCTCCCAATCGTCTTCTCTCTCTCTCCTCCCTCTCCTGGGAGCGGCTCTTGGCAGTGACTGTGTATGTGATAGGGTCTGTGTCTATTGTGTCAGTGAGGTCTGGGGATGCTATTATTCCCGCCAGAATGGGGGTGACACGTCTATTGCCCTGATCAGAGAGACAGGAGCCCTGTGTGCGTACTGATTGCTCCACAGCATGAATCCTCTGAATCTTAAGCCTGTTTGCAATCTTGTATTTCCTTTTGGGATGACTAGAATTAAAAAGACGGTGGCGTCCATTTAGATGTAAACCACATTGTTGTTTATCTCTGCCAGCCAGCTTAAGCTGCTCCTGTCTCTCTCTTTGCTTCTGCTGCCAGAAATCCTTCAGTGGAGCGAGTGTCTTATATTTGTTTACAGTGTCTGCATCTAAGCTCACAGTAGCATCTACTGGTTCCAGCTTGCCCAGCTTCACTGACATGAGCCGCACTCCCTTAAATCTGTTAATTATGATGTACTTTATAACAACAGGAGGTTCTTTACGACAAGATTTTCTCCGCTTTTTGGGACACCAGTCCACATCCTCCTCCTCTTTCTGACCTACAAGACCTTTCTCCTTTTTTTCTGCATTTTTCTCACTTTCTATCGAGTCAACGTCATACAAATAATCATCGCTGTACCTAACCTTTCTCTTAGAGCGTAAGCCATAATTAAGAGGATTTGATGGACCGAGAAAACTTGAGTGACCCTTTTTATATTTTCCTTCTTGTAGCGTGTCAGAGGAAGAGGCAGTACACGAGCTGTCGTCACTGAACTCCCCCGACTCCTCTGTAGAGTTGAAATCCATTAGGTAGCTCACTTTCCGAGTGGACATGGGAGACCCCTGGGAGCCATCAAGAGGGCTCCTACCACTGCAGTCCCCAAGCTTGACTTCTTGTCCTGACTCCAGTATTAGTTCATCACTTTTAGCCTCATCCACACTCCTCCTCAGAACTGCTGCCGCCTCCTCTTTTTTGGCACAATTGGCCAGGACACTCGGGAAAAAGTTAAACTGGGTCTCCTCTTGGAGCACATTTGTTTTCTCTCTCATGTTATCCTGAAAAGACTCATAGCGAATCTTTAGAGAACAAACATCACTACTTAAAGTCGAGTCATCATCTTCGTCATCGAAGAGATTATCAACATCTTCCTCAGAGAAAAGATTGACAGACAGTTCATTTTTTGAGCAAAGGTCAAGCAATTCAATTTTGCTCTCACTGATGAATGACTCAAAATAGCCCCAGTCCTGGCCTGCATTAGCCAAGAGCACCTCCTCCCCGCTCACTTTATCCAACAGCAGACCTTCGTACAGGTTCTTAGCTGTTGCCTCATCCTCTGGGTCGTCACAGTCTACTGTTGTTTTATTTCCATCTGCCCTCTTGCCCTCACCTGAGGCCTTAGGCAGGGGGAAGCTAAGTAGCTGGTCAGAGAGGAGCTGTTCTCCAAAGTGACTCACAGCCTCCCCCGCATGGCTCAGGCACTGAATGTTGATGTTGTTTATGTCGGAGAAGTCCTGCCGGCTCAAATCTCCTATCCTCAGCCCAGCATCCACATCGGGGCCTGCGCTGTGCTCGTGCAGGACGCTGGCTATGGGCGCAGGCTCCGTGGCGTCGCGTGTCTCTATGAAGCAGCCGATACAGGTGCGCGCCGGCTGCAGAAGACACTCCTCCGTGAGCGCGCCCGCACCTTCAGGCTCCATCATGGCGGCGGGGACTTTGGCTTTCGGGGACTGTCCTGACGGGCCCCAGGAGGAGCCGAGAGCAGACGTTGAGGGGGGAGTGGGGTGGAGGTGCGGGGTCACACTTGTAGCGTCATGAGTGGAAGGGGTGGAGGGGGGTGCTGGCAGGGGGTGGGCCGGGGACAGGGAGGCTGCGGTCCTCTGGTGCGCCAAAGCCCCTCGTGAAGTGGCAGGTGGAGATGTGGATGGAGGGAGTGCAGCAGCATCGACAAGTCCACACAGACTCAGATCAGCACTCCGCTCACATACCCCTGCAGAGAAACACACACATTTCACACTTTTAGACAAAAGCTATAACAAATGTCAACCTTTCTTTGTCTCCATTCTGGAGTTTCTCTGACATTTCCACTCAAATTGTCAATTTCGGATGCCAACTTTAATTGCTTATTTTTATGCCTTGGCTTAAACTTTTGAGATGTTTGCATAGGCAGGATGTCAAATGGTCTTTATAAAGTGATCAAAGAGAACATATTTTGCTTTTGTCGGCTATATTTTAATGATGTACAAGTGAAACTCACAAAATTATAAGATTATTAATTTATTTCTCTAATTCAACTTAAAATGTGAAAACAATATACTGTATGAGATAGACACAATACAAGAAACGTGTTAGAATTGGTTTTAAAGTATTCTCTTTTATGTATTATTTAAAAAAAAATTCAAGAGCCAATTATAACACAACAGGCTTGATATATCTCATTTGTGCAATGATTCATACAACATTTTCACATTAAATTTCAGAAGTAACTGGACTTTTGAGCAATATACTAATTTGTATATTTTGACTTTTAAAGTGAAAATCCAAATACACAATATATATAATGATGATATTTACCATTAAACCACGATCAAACTTGATTGTTAAGACAATAGATCAGAAATTGGAAATTAAATGGAATAATATTCATGCATAGGTCAATTGTGACAATATTTGTAATCAGTTGAAGATGTGCAACAATTAAAAGCGACAGAAGCGGGCCGTGGCAGCAGGCTGAGAGTGTTGTTTGCTATGGATAATTAGATGAGCGCCGCCGAGGCAGGTACGTTACACATGGGACACGGCAGGCCCATATGTTGGAGACTGAATTTACACCTGCCTTCTCCTGCACTCTGAACAAACGGATACAGCCTTACACATATTACATACAAGGACTACATGAAAAATATGATACGGTTTATGTGTCAGTAAGTCAATGCCATAGCTATAACTATGACATGTAATGGGCTTCAAATGGAGAAGCAGCAATTCAGCGATTTGCAGCTAAAATCTGGAAAAGTCTTCCTGAGAATGGGAGACAGGCTTCAACTCTGACAATGTTCAAATCCAGGTTGAAAACAGTTCTGTTTAGCTACATACAACAGAAGGATCGTATCTTCCCTCTTTTAATGCACTGTGATTATATATGACTGTTTCCATGTTTTATTAAGCACTTTCATATAAACCGCGCTATACGAATAAACTTGCCTTGCCAAATCCATTTATTAATTTGATCAAAATCTAAACAAACTAAACCAGACAACACAAAGCAAGCACATCGCATTAGTTAAAAAAAAACAACAATCACAGACAAATAGCTGCATGATGCGACTGCCACAGTCAATTTAAAAGGAAGACTCCCTCTGGAGAAAATCAGATCTGTTATACGTCAAAAAACGGTGTGCAGGGAGTTGTCAGAGGCTGCAGGAGGCGTTAGAACCAGTGAGCCCAAATGACCCAGAGTGATATTTCTGGCATGTTCAGCCAGACAGGATGACCACTCTGGATGTTGTTGTTGTAGACCAGGAGCAGGCAGAATGCAGCTCTTCAGCTTTCTTGGAATGGCCTTGACAAAAAAATAGTATTTCTGTTTGTATAATATTTCTATACGTCAAGGTTTTAACAATGCATTGTACAAGAGTGGTCCATCATGAATAAAATACACAATTGTAACAAAATGCCCTTATGCTTGGAATAGTATCTCATTTCTGTCAGTTGTATTCAATAACTGTCTATTGTGCTTTTGCCGAAATGAAATGAAACAAAATAAAAATAAAAAATTCAAAAAGACAATCTACACACTTAAAAGCCCATGAAAACACACAGATCCAATTTATTTTTATATCAATAAAAAAATAAAAATAAGCTGTTGCTGTTCAACAGGTTGACAGATTGTGTACACTGCATTAAAACAGAGTGTGCATTGTCACTATTTAGCTTTGATGAAACGTACAACAGCGGGAATCCATACCAGTGAATGGTAAGGCGCATAATTTCAAGTTTTGCATGTCATTTAGGTAAAAAAATTATATAAAATAAACCAGACAACACAAAACAAGCACATGCAATTTCAGAGCCATCACATGAAGACACCAGCGCCAGTGTACAGACCAGTGCGCGCCCTGAGGTTTTGAAATAGACCGTGTACAGTGTGGATGGCCCAGCACCAGCGTGTGAGTGTGCGGTACAGTGACAGAGTGAGAGTTTTGGCTCGGGGGTTCAGTGTTATGGAGAGGCCATCTGTCTCCAGCTGGACCATTAGCTCCTCAGCTGTTCAGAGCGTGCCACGGATCAGGCGGACCGATCAGGCAGGTACACGCACACATGGGCCCTTATAGTCATGACAAATCCAGCTTGACATCTGAGGTCATTGGACATCTGTAGCCTCAAACACGCTCACAGGCCGCTCACAGCCTTATCCGCACAATTATTGAATCAAATAGGGTTTTTGTTGCACATGTTATGGAATGACATTTTTTTTATTTGATTTGATATTGTCAAATAGGTTACTAGTTACTAGTCAAACAAGTCCAGTCAATATCAATATCACAGTATAGCTATTATTCTTATTTTCTCTCTTTTAATTTTTCAGAAAATGTATTGCAATATCAACAGAGCAATCACGATATCCGACTATAAAAGTATCAGTTTTCTCCAACTGACAGATATCAGCCTGTTATTGCAATAGTTAGAGGACATATTAAAGCTGGGGTACATTTTTTGTACGTACATGAATAATACATTTTGTTTGTCCCAACAGAAAGAGTCATGTTAAGGTAAAGTGTTGTGAAGAAATCAGGAAACAAAATTATTTTATTTTCCAATTCTTGTAAGAAAGAGTCACTATTTAACGCTTTGAGCTCAGAGCTGAAGTGAAGGTGGTCCTCTCGATTTACTCTTTCTATCTGAAAAAGCAGATCTAAAAAAAATACAAACTTGCTACTCGCACGATTTCCATAATACTTTTCTGCTTGGGGGGTTCGCTCCCATAGAAGCTGTATGCAGTAAAGTCATAACTTGTGTAAAACCTGCAGTGGTAGTTGTAGAAGCGTGAGTCTCGATGTAAAGAATGAGGAGGAAACCGATGGCGAGTTTGTAACTTCAAGCACCACAGGAACGCATCTAATCAAGGCCTCAGTGTGGCCTATGCATTAATACAATACAATAATAAAGATTGCCATCTGCTGGCTGTCTGCAGAACTGAACTTATTAAATGAATGGGACAAAAAATAAAAATAAGCCATTTTGCCCCTTTTGACTTTTCAAAATCAACAAATAAGGTACAGATCTTTTAAAGCGTTTGTTGAATTAAAACTTAACTGAAATTTTATAGAAGCTATTATCAGGGTATTCTATGACAGTTTTAGATTGTATGCATTAGAACGATGGCATATAACCCCAGCCCTCAAAGTATAATGGATACGCACAAGTTGTAAATGCTTGTGAAAGCTTATGAGAACCTGTATTATAGAGTTAATTTTTGTTTGGTATTAATGTAAGGCTTTAAATCAGTATAACAGTTTTTCCCACCAATATATTTCATTTGGCTTTGATTCTGGACCAGATTATTTATCTTATATATTTATTTACCAGTATCATCCTAGCAAAGCTACACTGTTCAAACTAATCCCATGAATATTTCTAATCTTTTCTCTTTTACATTTTGTGCTGCCCTAATATCTTGCGCATCTGAGTTGGCAAACCTTCTCCAAAAGCAGTCATAAATTAGCTGCCAATTTTTCATTTCTCACTTACAGAAAAATGAAAACAAAATCACAGCCCGTCTCCTGCTCAAAGCCTCACACATCAATGCAAAACAGTTTTAGTCGTGTATGAACTCTCTCGGTTGGACCTGACCAGAGCCTGGATGTGACATGGCGAGTGTGCCCAGGCTCCAGGAAGCATATGGAGGGCCCCGGCTGCTGGCAGGTGGTGCTGCTCTTCTGATGATCCCAGGAACCTGCCAAAACGCTGCGATGCTAGACAGCTCCTCCAGTGCCAAGACCTGAGTGTGGACCGGTTACACTCGGGTCTTTCTGTTTCGGCAGCTGCGAGTTTTGAGCCGTCTCGCTGAAGTCAAACCAGCAGCTGAACCTGGCTGAAACTGCGTCACTGAATACACACATTTTTATCCACGTTTTTATTTTGATAGCGTTTCTAATAAGCTTTCTGGTGTGACGTGACCAGACTATGGTATACTTTTGATAGAACACAACATACAAATAATGATTAGATGGATTACTAAATGGTGTAAGTGAGTTTTGGTTTGTATCCTTAGTCCCATGGTCACATCCCCCTGTATCTGTGATGTCATAGATGTATTGTATGACATCACAGATACTATGTTATTTGTGGGATCTGACGGATAGCTCTGTCTGTGGACCTTCTCTCCCTCCTCATCCTTATGTGTATGGTTTGTTGTCTATATATGTATCTTGTAACTATGTTTAGTGTCATAAAATGTCCGCTTTTATGTCTATTTGATTTATTCCTAATATAAATCACAACTAGGTTTTTGTCGAGATATTAACTCACAAGGCGTTTCACAAGTTAAAATGAGATTAAAACACAGAATAAAACACATTAATGAAATACAATAAAATGCAATAAAATTCAATACATTCCAGCGCAAAAGCAAGCAATAATTTTATTTGAATTAATATATGGATTCCAAGATTCTAAGATCCAGATTGCAGTTTTTTGTCAAAATCACAAAGTCTAATTTGCAGAAACAGATAAGTTTTGTAAAAGCCAGAATTATAAAGTTTCACCCCTTCTTCAGCAAATGCTTTCAAATATACGCCAAAAACAAAACACACTGAAGAAACTGAGAAATCTGTTTTTTGGGAGAAAAAAAAAACTAAAAACCTCCGCAATTAACAATGATTCAATTGCAAAAAGTTAATGATGGTTCAGAGTGAATAAAGATCAGTTTATTAAAGTTCAGTAAAGCGTGTTGGACGATACATTTGACTTCACTGTAATGCAGTGACTTTTCCTTTTACACGTTTCCCTCTTGATAATATTATGCACGAGCCAAAAGCTGAATATAAAACGTGAATAAGTTGACAACCAGCCTCTCTGTTGATTATCTGTCTGTTCCTTTTCCAAATGAATTTCTATTAATGTTTTTTTTAACATACAAAGTCACATTAGAACAAACAACAATAACACAACAACAACAAAAAACAAACACAAAAGTAAAAGAAAGATCCCGCTCTTAGAACCTACAAATACACATCATATAAACTAGGGCTGTAACCAGTTCATTCATGAACAGAAACAACCAGTCATCGACTAGTGAACGTGCTGAGAAGAGGAGTTTTGACTATTACATAATTCTATAAAGACAGAATGAAAATAAAATGTATTACAAAGTACTTTTTATCAAACGACCCAATGTGTTATGAGTCTTCTCTTTAAGGATGTTTTCCAAGGGCAGCACTGGAGCTTTTGTTTGGTCAAATGCGTAAAAAATACATATTCTCTGTTGATTCAGTATCTAAACAATGCATTCCCAAAAAAGACAGCCCTTACATGTGCGCAAACATACAGATGAAACTTGTAAAAGTAGAATACTGTTCAAATGTTGATTTATTTCTGTAATTTAAAATAAAATGAATTACAAAGTGCATATGTTTGATGATAATGGCTTACAGTCCATTTTCAAAATATTCAAATTTTGAGACATATTTATCAAGATTAGAACCAATAAAGCCTTGATATACCTCAATTATAAATAAGTTTCAAATTGTTAGTTGACTGTTAGTCTGTGTTTTACCTATACACTACAGATAACACTGGGTAACAAAAAAATATTTTTTTGACAATAGTCCAGGGTTTTCCAGCTGAATTAGACTATTTTGATGCTCTGAGTCCGAAAATGATATTGGTTTTGCTCAATCAGGTCAGGATTTTTTGCTACAGAAATATTTTTTTAAATCGATTTTGCGTAAAAAACAAATTTCTGCGGATCATCAGCTGAGAAACCCTTGACGTTTTTTCCGTTTTCCTCAAGAAATAAAAGTCAATGTATCCAAAGTCATTCAGTTTTTATTTACTCCGTCAAATTTGATAAGCAGAATTCATAATAACGTAGACGTACACAATCCGTAACACTATGGCTGTATCTCAAAAAGTTGACCTGATAGAGCAAAATGCATATGATATTCGGACTCACAACACCAAAATTAGTCTAAATCACTTGAGAAACCACTGAACATTTTTTGGCTGTCAACTTGTGTAATCAGACACACATGCATTTATTTGTTGTTTGTTTTGTTATAGCACTTTCTATTTCCTTTGTTTGTGGGCTCCATAAGCCATGGCACTTTGTCTGTCCTATCTCATCCTAGTTACAGGCTTCAGTGACCATAAAGTGCCACGCAAGCTGCTTAGAGCTGCTGCACCTCGGGCGTTTGTCCTGCTGTAGATGCGCATCTATTGCTCTGTCTCCACTATATGACATTTTGTGAATGGTGGGGGAAATCAATCCGGCCAGCACAGGATGTTCATAATAAGTGGTGAGTAAGTGCGGCATGAATCACGGCTGGTCTCCTCGGAGTGCTGGGAACGGAGCTGCCCTCACCTCCAATACTGCAGCTTTTTATACATTACTCGCTATTCTTTTACTATGCGCTGCCTCTGCCTCCCTCCTCTGGCTGCTCAAGTGATGACGGAGTAAGACCACAGCTCAAAGCAAACAAGCCCACAGCCAGAGATTACAGACGCAAACTATAGAGGGCAGCAGGTAGTGGCACAAGACAAAGCACTGGTCTCTAACAACTGTGCAGTCCATGCAGTTCAATGGGAGAGAATCAGAATCAGACAGAGATGGAGAGAGCCCTAGTCTCCATCACAGTATCGTAAAAGACATTATCTTTATCACAGGGGCAGTACATAGAGGTCTAATAAAGTCCATACAATTAAAATCACCCTTTTGTTGTCAGAATCTTCCTGTCTGTGACACATATAGCTCCTAATCACTGGTTACTGATGCTGCAAACCACCTACTGGAGTTTAGCTAGAAACAGTATAAACTGTAGTTGTATGTTATACACAACTACATTTACTTAGCTTTCATTTAAACAAATGTGTGGTGTTATTGTATTGTATATAAGTTGTTATATTATATCATAAATGTAAGAATAATATTGTGGAAATCCTGTCCATTGTAATTTTGATTAAACTTTTGTCCAAATGTTGTCCAAAAGCCAAATATGAATAGTACATGTGACCTTTTATCTGAAAAATGTACATGTAATTTATGTACAAACGGTAGTACAATATTTTAAACATATGTGTAATATGTAAATCTTCAGACACTGCTCAAAACCTACTTTTTAAAAACTGCCTAAACTTAACTGTTTGTTATTAGCTTTTTATTTTGTTTCTGATTTGTTCTTCTGTAAAGCGTCATTGAGGGTCCACAAAAGCACTACATAAGTACGTATTATTAATATAATTAAACATTATTTTTCAGTTATATATTTGAAAATGTTTGCCAGTGATACATTTAAAGCTGGAGTTCCTGACTTTGAAATCATCATGTAATACAACCATTTAACTGGTTCCTCAAAACAGTTTTGGTTCTATCTCTACTTTTCACCTGCATGTGTTCTTGGCCTGTCACATCAGGTCACTCAGCCAATCAGCTCTCAGTCTGTGATGTCTTTACTAATACAAGGTGAGCATCTTGTGCTCTGATTTGTTCTTGAAATGTTACTTAAGCAAGACTGTTGAGACAAACAAAATGTATTTATGGAACAAAAAAATAGCTACTCCAGATTTAAATAGGATTGCAGATGCTATCCTAAAGCCAGTTAGAAGCATGGCTAACCACCTGACTATCCCACTGTTTTTATGTTTTGTCATCTGCAAAGAAACTGATGAATAAAAATAGAAAGTACAGATATGTGTCAACAATAATCATAAAGTACTGAAACTATAAACAAGGACAGTAATCTAATACACGTTACTTTACTTTCCATGTCTAGAACCAGATAACTTTATTGATTTGGCACATCAGTGAAGCAGGAGAGTTCCAGAGAACAAGCTACTTTCACTGTAAAAGTTATGCAGGTTTTCTTTTCATTTCCCTTTGAAACAGTAACAAATTCAACGTCCTTGATAATCTTTTGCAAGAGCCTAAACCTGAAGATAAAACATTAATTAAAGTTCTCCCACATGTTCTAGCGCTATTTACCTTATAAGTCACCCGCCCAGGGGAAGTTTAATTAAAGTGTCATTTCATCATGTATTTCACTGGTATTGTGTGTGTGTTTTTTATGATGGTGAAAGGTGACTTTTTTATTATTTTTTTACCTGTGATTTGTGCCGAGTTTGCAGCCTGTGGTTTGGAAGTCTTCACGATCACGGTGAGACTGCTGTCGCTTAACACGTCCATCAATACAGACTGGAGCAGCACTTTCTACGCATCATTTTGACTGCATCACCTGCGGAATGTGGAGAGAACAAACACATTGGTCAAATAGAAATATTCATAATCCAGAAATAGCCCGTAATATTAGCTTTTCATTCAATGCATTCAGATGTTGTTTGGGCAGGATCACAATAGAAACTCAGAAAACTAGATAATGCTTTAGCCTTATTAGATTCACTTACAATGTGAATCTAATATACAACCCACGACATGCAGAGTGAGACTTATGAAGCTTTTTATTGTTATAATGTTTATAATTGGCTCACAGTTTGTAATTTTTTTTTTTAAATCTATAAAACTTTATTGATTTATAGGCTTTATTATGGGGTAAGGTTACTGTCAATAAAGACGTGCATGTCTAAAAAAAATGCGTGCACATTTATTGGTATTTGTGCATAATTTATTTTTATGAATTCATGATTAAGATAATACAAACTAAAAAGACATGGAATTTCGTAATTAAGAATAAAAAAATATAAAACTGTATGTGTGATTTCGTACTTGTGAATACGATTCTTTTTTGTGTGCTTGCATTTTCTTTTAGAGAATACGAATTTCAGCAGTGAG